AGCATGGCTGTGAACCCGTGGTCAGAACACCAAAGTGGTCAAAACACCAAAGCAGGGAAAGGGGAGAACACCCAAATCTGCATGCACTGGGAAAGATATTGAAAAGTTCACTACCCATAAAGACCAGATTGTTCACGGTGTTCTTGCCCAAGACGGATCCATAAAACAAGTCCCACATCCACGCATCAAAATTCTGTCAACAGGTGTGACGGAGTAGAGACTGGCAATAATTCCAGTAACAGCCCTCATGTCACTGCACTTCAAGTAGAACCAAGCAACAGGACAAAAACAAAAAACCACCGAAGAAGGAACTACAGGACATTTTCTTGGAAGGCAAAGGCAGGCTGCTGGAGGTTAACTCTATGAGAAGAACATGGAGATTAACCTCAGTAACGTCAATGACTTCATTCACCTCAGGTCTTTGATTTCCAAGCTTTGAAAAATGAAACAGTCAACTTAATTTTAAAATTTGTATCACTGAAAACTGAGTTAACAACCCTTCACATGGCATCAGTATTTCTTGCGTTGGCAAGGAAATTGACTCAAAATATTATACTCAAGTCGCACAAGGCTGTCCGTAGTCTTGAATATCTGTCCAAATGTTACAAACCTGTTCGACAGTTCAATTGTCCCACTGCGTTTCATTGCCCAGAGTCAAGGAGGCATCCATTTTGTTCCGGCATCCCCCCAAGGGGTAATCAGCAGACCCTCCCAAAAGTGCAGAGGTATTGTAAACGGGGAAATGCTTGTTGCAATTCATTAGCTGCAAGTGAATGGATTCACCCATGCATTTGCCCGGTCAATTTTCACCAGAAGTGGTTCTGTTTTTTTTCTGTTGTTGAGTCCAGACAATGCAGGTTAACTATAGATGTATGTTACATACTGATTGTGCCTTTAATTTAATGAGAGTGGTTTTGGCAGGATCATTTGCCTAAAGTGCTATTTATTGGCACCAATTCACATTTCATGCCCTCTTCATACTGGGATAACCATAAAAATCGACAAAGAAAAAACCCTCTAAAAGTATTAAAAAAGAGAGCACAGACAGTGAAAATGACCTACCACTATGTAAGCATATACAGCAATTATGATCACTATTTAAGGCTCATCACAAATAAAATACTGTTCTAGAGTCAAAGTGAAATGTAGAATTAAATTATTTCTGACATTACAGGCAACATCTTACCAGCAACACCATTCCCCAACAGAAAAAAATTGGAACATTAGAGCTGACAGCGATCTGATCACATTTGATTTCTAACATTTTCTGGCAGCTTCCACCTGCCACAGTTCAACATCAACCTAACATGCACCCTTTCCCTGGGGATGCAGGGGACCAACGAATCATGTCTACCAGTCCCCCAGGCACAAATCCAGATTACATCAAACAAGACCTCTGAAAATGACCCTCAGCCTACACTCTCCTCCAGTGGGTGAAATCCCAGACTGTGTTTTTCCAACAAATATCTCGAACAGAAATCCATACCTTAAAACTCCACAGATCTGAAAACCGCTAAGGGGTGTAAAACCTTGCGTTACACTGCCACCCCGCCTCCTAGAAAACTCAAAATCCTGGAGTTTTCGTTGATGGAAGCTGGCAGCTCTTTTCTAGTTGGGAAAACATGGGGGCAGGCAGTTCTTACAAGTCGGCCCCTATTCATGTCGCAAGCATTGTTTATGGAATAGCAAGCCTTGTATTTGTCACATACAACTGTAGGGGGGTTGGCCCACATACATGTAATTGCATCTGGACTTGTGCTTGAAGGGGCAACACCTAGCATTAATTACATACATGTCCATGTATTGGTAAGGATTGGTTACAGCAATGTGATATGGCCAATGGAGGGAAAGGGAAGGTACATTCTTGAACAACACATTTTCAGCTGAAAACCCATGATGAAAGTGAAGCATGCATTCGGCAAGACAAATCATGTTTACTATGAAAATCTGGTTCACTGTTTTCAAATTACGACCTTCACTGAAATTCTGTTCCACTTTACAATTTCAACAGGCCATGTAAGTTTGATTTAATAAATTGTGGTCAGTGACTCTGAGTGACAGTGTGATTTGTGTCTTTCATGCATGGGTGGAGTTCCCGGGGAAGGGGGAATTACCCCCCCCCAACTTTCTGACCTGGAGGGATTACCACTATAGTCAATCCCCCACTTTTTAAGTCATTGACTATGCACCATGCTTAAATCACCCCCCCCAAATGTGACCAGAAATCTCTGCCCATGCTTTCATAAAGGAACACTAATAGCACAACATATCAAAGTTGCAACCTCAACAAAGTAAGCAACTGAAAGTATAAAAGTGAGTGTTTCGATAAGGCCATGGGCCATTTTCTTCATAGGCAATACACAGACCCTGGTTTCATGTGTAGGAGGTTACATTACCAAGTAAATCTCTGGGCTTCCCACTAATACTGATCACCACCAGTGCTATTTAGATTTTGACCTTATTCTACATCTATGAGAAAACAGAGGTCAAAAGAAGGGTTCCACAGATAAGCCACAATAAGCCAGAAATTAATTCTTGGAAAGAGATGTACCTGTTAAAATCTCTAGGGAAAATTGGAAACTGATCGATATAGAAATGCAAATTCAAATGAGCCCAAGAAAATATCATAATGGCTAATAAAGTAACATGTAACACATAAAGTAACATGTTCAAACTAAGCAGTTGTATATGTATAAAGAACAACAGCTTGAAGCAACCACATACTCCCTCGTGGAGTGGTCTGCGAGGCAGGAGCTACCTCCTTGTTTTGCCTCCCCACAATTTCTTCTCACTGGCTCCTCGGACTGATCGTTTTATGAATACGGGGACCAGAGACTGAGAGGCACCCTGTGGGTTTGTGACTTAGTATTCAACAGCACACAGCACCTATTTTTCCCTTATTCTGAGAGCATGTGGGAAGTAAATATGTCCCATTTCCACATTTAAGTTATGCCACTTCAGGTCAGGATGGCAGCACAGAATGTGTCTTCCGTTTACACGGGTAATATTTAACATTCCATTTTTTGATCTATGAAATCCTTCCCCAATTTGAAACTTATCACACACAACAGCAAAGACAGCCTAAAAACTAGTTTCGACTTTAAATGCATTGGAAGAATTTATTTTCAAAATGAGATAAGTGCCATTTTGGTCCTCTGAATATTTCCCCTTCTCATGGTTGCCTCCTACCAGTTTCTAGGGGTTTTACTTGGTAAAAAACAGCTCAACGAGTCAGACCAGTGACAAATAACAATTACGGAAACCTGGTACACTCTTTTTGTTTTTAAATATTGAATGATTGTGGAAACATTGTTCAATATTTCACTGGTGTATATCTCATTTTGGAATGAAACCCTTCATATGTTTTCAACAGTTTAAAATTCCGAACACTGATTTAGTGCAACCAAGTTTATGTTCAGGCTGAAAATTAAGATGAATCAACGCTCTGATATTATTAAAGATGAAAATCTAATTGCATCAAAAAGTAATCCAGGAAATCATGTTAACGATCCTTTTAATTTGGCAGAATTTATAATCACATCATTTGAGCCAACTTAATTGGATCTGGCAGAAAATTACACAAGTTATATCTGGCCCTTTGGTAACATATAATACTGTGTGCTCACTGGCAAGCTATGACAAGAACCTGCTTGTATGAGTACAAGGCTATGATTCTAAAATATTTGGATAGCCTCCCAATTCTACCATATCAGCATCAAACATGTCTGGGCAGAGCTTTCCCAAACTACAATCTATCATCAAGTCTTCAAGTTAATCCCTCCGCGAGTAGAGCTGGCCAGGTACTTCGCTATCATCTTTTCACCCCCTCTCCCTCCCCCAATGCCCACTAACTCTACAGGCCTTTCTCTCATTAACATTCACCAATGTGTCTTCTGCATCTCAATCCTATCAGCTCTGCTTAACTGCCGCTCCTGATGCCGCGACGAGCCAAATTCTCTCAACCGCTTTCTGGCCAGGTAGCTCAAGTTTGAAGCCTGATTAAACATCATTGCGAAGGGCTCCCGCCAGTTTTTATTTATCAGTCGTCTGCAGTAACTCAATCTTGCTTTATGCAATTTTGGTTTTGGATGCAACATCGTGGCATGGGAGATGTGGTGGTTGATAGCAAAGATCGAGATGAGGGATAAAGATGGAACAGACAGAAATATAGGATGAGAAGAATGAGGTCGCATGGTTGTTAATCTTGTTTGATCAGAGAGAAGAGACAAAAATAGACGGGCTGTATGGAGACATACTGGCATCCCATCATGAAACTTACAGACTTATCACAAAGATAAGAGTAGAAATGCAGATGGTGATAATTTCCCAAAGTTATTTACATTTTTTAAAAGGTTCCTTAAAAGAGGACATGCGAAGATTACAGACAACTACATGCATACTGAACCAGGCCAAGAACCTCGGACCACTGGACAACCGTTCAAGCGATTCACCAACTGAATTAATAGATTAATGCCTGCATATCTCCAAAATAGCCAACTACATTACAATGTACACATATACTTTAATGCCTGCATATTTCCAAAATAGCCAACTACATTACAATGTACACATATACATTAATGCCTGCATATTTCCAAAATAGCCAACTACATTACAATGTACACATATACATTAATGCCTGCATATTTCCAAAACAGCCAACTACATTACAATGTACACATATGCGAAGGTATGAAAACAATGTCAAAGTGGTGACAGTAAAAATGACGGAAGCATTGCAACAATTTCCCTTCATCCTACTACCCCTCTCTTTGATGCACTGAGCAGAAATTCAGCATCGGGCAATGCAAGAAGGTAAAAACCAGCGGATGTAAATGCCACAGCAGTGGCAGTAATGAGAATACCATGGCAGGGCCAACATCTGGAGATATTGAAATACAAGCTGCTGAGCCCAGTCTGTATGTCAACTCAAGAATCCAGAGCAATATTCCCACTCTGATTGGCAAACGACAGATCCACATTTTGGGCATTACTCCCTCTACTGGAAAACGTGGAATAACATCAATTTATTCTACACATATGAAGTTGCTGGCCGAGCAATTTACTTTCTTACAGCACAGAAAGAAAGTGAAACCTTTCACATAAAAGTGTTACCTTTTTATTACATACAATTACTACAGGCTAAAAAATGCAGCGAAATTCCACTGTAAAAGGAAATAAACATGTTTCATAAACATGTTTCTTTTTAAAATTAAAAACAAATCCCCTTCATATCACCAAACATATGAGAAATTTTAAACAAAAGTCCACAAACGTTTCATATCCAAATTTCTTCAGTGTATACTAACAACCATAACACTGAGTTGTGGCAAAATCATCAATGGTCGTGTGTTCAAGAAGTCATCAGAAAAAAAACATAATTGACCTGGGTTTGTTCTTTGCTTGATCAGTCATGCTTCATGCTTGGGTGAATGCAGGAACAGAGGATGTTCTTGTGAAGGAATAATTTCACAGTCTCTTTCTCATTAGATGGGGCCTGAAAATACCCTGACCTTTTCCGAAGTACAGCCACTGGCCCATGCTTCACTGCTGGTGCAGACAACTTTCAACAGTCAGTTCTTGTTTCGGCAAAAAAAAGTCTTTCGTCTCTGGTCAGCTTGTGCATTGATTTCAAACATGTGCGTCAATCTTTTTTCTTTCTTTTTTAAAAGAGCTGCAACAGCACCCTCTATTGCCGCACTGCCTCAACATTTTTGTGGGCAGCTCGATCTTTTACTCAGGGTGATAAGTCACCAGGAGATGGATGTTTGTACAATGATAGCAGACTATGGACACAAAGTTGTTGTTAGCTTATAATCATAATGAAGTTGGTTTCGTTCCATAACCCAAAAGCATGTATCTACAATTTTCTGTACAATCCAACCCTGAAGGATAAAAAAAATGTCGCCACATCAATCCCCGGAACATCAGTCTGAACAGCTCTTAACTACTTTTTTTTCGCCTTACATTCAAGAGCTGGGCTGATTCAGAATTCGTTATCAGTCAGTTTTCAGTAATTAAACCATGAAAGTCCATTCATAAGACTTGACTAGAAACTATGAAGAACTTTTTCACTTAGAAAACCATGGCAGACAGCCTATTAACATTGAAACAACTTATACATGTACACGTTTCAGATAGTTTGAAACACTCTCACACATTTCTAAGGATCTTTTTATTTAGCTTTTAGTACTTCCAGAATTTCTTTAAAGTTGTAAATTTACTTCCATGTGGCTAACCACACTCCAAGATACCATGATTCAACCGACTACAGCAAAATCAAGGTGCCAAAGAGCAATGTCACCAGAAAAAAAAATCACCACAAGAATTTCTACATGTACTTCAAAATTCAAACCTTGCATTCGTAAATTGTTTGGGAAAAAGCCACAGAACTTTGGCCAACACTGCCTCTTGGTTAAAAAGTCCCAGGTTTTGTTGTGATTTGATTCCAATTTGAGGTAATGATGTCATTTGCTTTGTGACTAAATGCATATGGGCAACTTCGGTCTAAAAATAAACGTAAATTCTGTCCCTCAGAGCCTACATCCTTTTACAGGAAAAATCAACCAGGGCTCCACCACACCTCGTACAGTTCAGTCACTGTTCAACATTTTCTCATGGTATTCCTCATTTCTGCTAGTTGTATCACTTGGAGCTGTGACTACGTCACTTGGCATATGCTTGGTGTCTCATTTTATAATGATGTACCCTTTTTTCTTCAAAAAGTACAACAACCCGACAAGATAAGAGCAGCACATGCTGCAGTGATTTGAACAGATGTTCAACTCATGGCTGCAACCAGTCACTGGGTTTTAATTAGATGTTCTTATTAGATTCCCATCTGATTACTGTTTGCCCATGACTGCTTCTGTGAATACTCTTTCAATGCCACAAGTGACGTACATTTACACGAAATGTTCCAAGCATGAAGTCCTTAAACCTTCATTCTTTCAGAATGAAGAAGATTAAAAAACAAGACCAAACACTGCATAAGATCAATATCCCTTCAGGTACTGTATGCTGCAGTTTCAGCATGGCATCCAGGCTGAAGATGGGACAGGTGCACAACTGCTATGTTGGATCTAACCATTCTTGTTTTGACCTTTCCAGACAGACAAAAACATTACTGTTAAAGGGGAAAGACACATCCCTCAGGGCCTGACAATTTTCATTCAAAAAGACACAAAAAATTAACACAAAAATGCCTTATTCAAACAAAATGTATCAACTGGTCTCAGTCCAAAAGTAAAACAAAGTTTTAAAACAAGGTTTAATATTGGAATTACATGTCCAAATCAATCAATAATAATTGATTACATAAAATACTATATACAGAAAGCAATATGTAAATGCAATAAGATCCAACTCCTCAGCATGTCGACTTTTAATACCAAAGTGTAACTTGATGTCATTTGCATTCGGCTTGATATATCAAATGCACGTACATGTTTCAGGCTGCAACACCAAATCCTTCACGCGTGCTAGTTTGGTCTAATTCCTGATGAACATTCAGCCTCCCCCCCCCCAGATAACTCATTACCTCCACCATTTCAATATTTCTTCTAATGAGAGCCCAGAAGGCCTGACAGAGTTTATTGATGAAATCTGCTCCCCGTTCCCCCCCCCCTCGATTGATTGAAGTGTGAAGTATGCGTAGGTGCAAACATGACTCATGCTGAGCTTGAGGGCAAGACAGGGCAGAACGGTTGAAGCCGCCTGGACCGACAGACAGACAAACATGCCAGCAGGTCCATGAGCCAGACTGCCCCGGTTATATTGATGATCTAGTTTCTGTGGTGAAGTGGACCGCTGTTCTGTTTTTTTAACAAGCTTGAGGGCTGTGGGGACAACTTGCTGATGGAAACACGTACATGATGCCTGCGGAACTTATCTATAATTCAATAAATGTAGATGATGTACAGATCTTTCCAAACAATTCTGAGCAATTTACTACATGTGTGATACAATCTTTGCCTCTGTGACAATGAGATAGCAAACTAGATTAAGACTGGGCGTGACATCTTTTACATTATCCACACAGGGACTGATTTGTTGTCTAGAGTGGCAGGACAATTTAATGAACACTGAAATCAGTTTCTTTGCTGCCTGCAGTTTTAACTTCATTTTCCCAAACGATCAATGATTCGCTTCACTACATCCTCAACAACACTTCAACATTCGCGATTCTGTCAGGAAAACAAATATTAAAATTGCAAGAGTTTAACAAGTCCACCACTAAGAATTCTTGTGGTTTGTACATGGAAGTATTGAGGTAACAGCGTACCAGTCTCTAAAATAATTAAGCAATGAAAATCAACTTAATTTGATGTAACACCAAAAAAACCTGCACAAGATTTTTAATGGAAAGCATTCGTAAATCAAATCAGTAGCAATTCTGTTGCCCACAAGCACAAGTTTAAGAGAGGAATTCTTTTCGTTTGTCAAACAGACAACTCTTCAGCTGAGACTTAATGCATGGCGAGTTAATGATTGAAACTCATAATGAAGTCGCTGACGTCACTTGACAGAACGGGTTCATCTAAGTCGGCGTCAGACGGCTTCTTCCGACCAACATGTTTCCACTATATAACACTGAGGTGAACACGATGTATAATTCATCCCACACCTTGGGTGAATACATGTGCAACGTTGACCAACTTGTCAGCATACAAATGAAACACCTCACAGCTACATTGTACATGTGCATGTAGTTCAGAATGCATCTTTCAAATCCTTCTAAAGGCAGAGGAAATTGCAGGTTATATTGTCTTATGAAATACGAATGAGTATGAACCACTACTGTGAGTCTCAGACCAAAGATCTATTCAGAAGATAATCTATTAACAGCCAGCTACAGACAAAAGACTCACTTAGTACTGCGATGATTTATTAAGATTCCATGTTATGAATTTCTTTTCTTCAGGAAAGCAGAATAGTTTGAAAGTTAACAAGAAACAATAATTTTGCGGGACTTCCTATGAAGGCATATGGCAAACACTGACATGAGGCATTATATTCTGGAATGATTGTAGTGACATCTAACAGGAAATTCGCGACTGAATTGAGGTCACAAAATTTGTCTCCATAACATTTTTGGCCCCCCCAACATCTGTGTAAAAATGTGTGTAGTTTCCACAACTACAGCAAAACCATGGGGTGCACACAACTCTCTCCAGTCAAAAATACTTGTCATTGACAACACATCAGTGTCACATATCACGCATCAAAAATGGAAGACGCTTCTCTTACACAACCACTCGAGAGCAAAGCGAATCCTCCTTTATGCACATTCAAATGAAAACTGGAAGTATCACTTAACTGTTATTTGTTCAAATTGTTTTGCGAATTCTGACAGTAAAATGGAAATCATTAGCCTCCTCAAATATGCAACAAGAGAGAGCCAGTTAGAGCACAGACTCCATATGGAATCTGTAAAAGTTCTGTCAAAGATAACAGAACTTACCCTCAAAAGATTGGCACCCCGTGGAGCTAGCTGTGCGCTACCTCTTCTGCGCAGCTTGTAAGATGATGGCTCTTTCCGGAGGGATTGAAGGATACAGATTGAATCCAAGTGGTGAGGAGAAGTCAATGCCTTGGTAGCAGGTCAGATGATGCTGTATCATCTGAAACAGGGACAAGTTATGATAATTAAACACAAATATCTGGAATGTAGCCAGACAGTAGAACACTTTTCAACTTTAGATTATTGTTATTACCAATTTTATTTTGTTTTCATTGTTACGGCTTGTAGGACAACATATTTTCAAATCTCCTCATTGACCTCCACTGTAAATTTTGATCAAGCTTTTAAACGGTTACAAATTTCCGGCTTGTTAAAAAAAATTAGCCTGGCACCTAATGGCCCAGTGAAGAAAACAATCACTCAGTCAGCCCACGCACAATGGGGGAGATACAAAATTGTTTTCTGTAGGGCCCTCAAACATTTGAAATTTCAGTAAGTAAGCTTTTATGGCCTTTGTGAGGGATGAGATTGAAGTGTGGGGCTTTTTACACGCTTTTGGAAGGAAAGGAATTGAATTAGTTCAAAAAAATAACGTTTTGCTCATCATTTTTCAAAAACCTTTTTTGCTGTCACCTCCCTCCCCCAATATGCCGACTACGTCATTATGGAGAAAAACTGTTGCAAAGTGTCTCATTCAGGGACAAAAGCAGTAGTACTTTGGTACAAGAAAAATCTACCATGTTTCCCTTTTTGATGTGCTGATCAGAACACAAAGTGAACCCTGCGATTACTTTCCTCACAGCTACAGGTCAAGCAATGCTTGAGAGGTTAACATGATCAGAAAGTCCAGTTTAATACCTGGTCCTTGATGGCCAGCACCTGCCTGAGTAGCCTGAGTCTGGCTTGTACCACATCCAGCTGGTCTGAACCGGTTTGGCCGAAGAGAAATCCGTTCAGGTGATGGAGGGCCACGACATACATGATTGGAGACCACGTGGACTTGACAGCACCTTTGATAATTGAGCTCAAGTAGATTTTTAAGAGCTCTAGGTTGGTTTCCTGGGGATGCAGGAAGTTCTCAATCGGCAAGATCAGCTGCAATAAAGTTTGATGTAAGAATGATTAAGAAATCTTTCACAAATATACAGATTTTTAAAACAAATTCTAATTTGGTGTATTCACAAGGTGTGTTAAAACTGCCGGTACACCTTCAAGGTGAACCTCTACATGCAATAATGTGAAGAGCAAACTCAGCTCCTCTACTCAAGAACCCCTCCAAAAGTCGAGAAAAGAAATAAATGGAAGTAAAGATATGACCAAAAAAAACGATTCACCCAAAATCGTGTTTTATATCCTGTACTTAAAATAAACTTCTATGAACCTACTCTTTGCAACATCCAGAACTTCAAGCCAAATTATGGTAAAGACCAACTCAAACTTCAGATGACTGGACACTCAAGGAGGCCCCCAGTAATGGAAGAAGCTTTGGGCCAGCTATACTATGAGATATCTGATGCTTGGTGGTTTTCCTAACACTGCTCCCTCCATTACTTGGAGGGGGTTCCAAATGTACAATCCTCTTTTGCCTTGACTGATCACATCAAGAGATTTAAGTTACATTCTATTACACAACTATGAAATCGTCTCATTTATTAAGACAACTCAATGTTACTCATCAGTACCAAATGACCTTATGCACATCCAATGCATCCAGTGAATTACCTGAGCGACAGGAAGATTGAGAGCTCTGAGCGCATCTGCGTGTTCACACCACAGAGCTTTGCGTATCCCGACACTGAATCTCTGCTGCATTGGCAGCAACACAAAGTGAGCAAAGAGAGGATCCCCGAAGGAGACAGCCTCATACTGCGTCAACAGCTCCATGAAACTAGATGTCAAAAAGGATGAATGAGAGATGGTATCTGGGTCCCATTGATTGGTTATTGATGCAAATCTGTAGCATTGTGGGGACACTAACAAGCTGTGTATTGATTCAACATTGATAACTTCTTGTCCTGAATTAAAATGTGAAACCTGGTTTTTAAGTAACAGTGAACAATTTTCATAAAATTAGAGACAAGATGACTAGACATACACGGAAATCTCTTGAAGGCCCAGCATGATAAAAAAATGCACTGCAACAAAAACGGAAAAAAATCGAAAAGTGGAAGATCCCCCTATTTCCTCTTAAGGTTAAATTCTTCTGCAACATCATTTTGAGAACAAAAGATGGGCTTGAAAACCAGGCTAAATTGATTTGGTAGGTGCAACATTTGTGGGATCGGTCATCGACTGGATCTAAGACTTACAGGTCGTAGAAAGAAGAGACCCCAGGCACTGCTACATCAAAGTCTACGAGCTTCAGATAGTCTGGTTGGGTGTACAGCCTCAGTAGTGGGCTGAGGTAATGACGGACTGAGTCTTCTAAGAACAGGTCACTCCCTGTAATAAGAAAGATTCCCTGTCCCTTGAGTAAGCTTGATGCCAAGAGGTGCGCAAGTCATTAAGCACGCTGTCAAGTTGATGACTGCTGAGAAAGTGGAATACGACAATATTTTAAACCCATGCCAAAGGTTCCCTGCATACCCACAGGGTAGAGAAAATGTGCCTAGCATTAGACTAGTCATCAGCTGCCTTGTTACAAGAGCTTTGCGACAATACACGCAAGAGATACAGTTTGCAATTTTCCTCTGGACGAATAACTCATCACAGTGTGACCTTCGACTAAAATGAGTCATCCTGCCAACGTGAGATTGAGTGGGGGAAGTTATCTGCTGAGTGTTAGTAAACCCCTATGATCGGGGACCTCCTGCTGTTCTTCAAGCTTTTTAAGGGCTCCCATAAGAATTCGTACACGATCTTCAACCATGGACCCTCACCAAACCGTGGACCCTCAGCCAACCATGGACCCCACAGTCCTCTAATGTTCAACATGCATGACTGCATGTGGATGCGAACTCCCCCAAACCTCGCACGCAAGCCAATGCAGGGAGGACAGCAGTTTGGACTGGGCAAGTCTGGATATAAGCTAGGACATCTCACTACAAGGAGGATGGGGAAAGAGAAAATAAAACTTGACATCATTGGACAAGATTGTGAACAACAGCATACCTATGAGGAAGACACAAAAGAGGCGAGCTATCTTGGCTGTCTGGGGCACCATCTTCAGACTCTGGGGCCTCCATGTCTCCAGCATGTAGATCCAGCGTAACGTGTCCACTAACGCGCTCAGGATGTGAGGAGGCAGGGCCTTGAGTGACTTCCCATGCATCTCACTGGGTGGGAAAGAGTGAAGGGCAGACTTTGTAGTCAACAGCCTGAAGAGGCTGAATATACGTTTTTGTGCCCCCAAGATGGCCAATTTAGAATTTTCTACCACCTTAAATTTAACTTTTTGTTGCTAAATATTTTTTTCATTGGTACTTAATGCAATCCGCTTGGTCTGTTCTTTGCAATGTTATAAATTTGACCATTTTTGTAAATGTCATTTGTTAAATAGTCAGAGAATGAAATTCGTCCAACATTACAGCTAGGAAATGTTACAAGTACACTTCAGCAAGTCTTATGTTAAGAGTGAAAAGAGGGTTCCCCATAGAGGTTATGCGTTAACACGTCCTCAGAGACCAAGAGCTTTGTATCACTGGGATAGGCTTGAGTGAACCTTTTTTGCACTGCTGTCGCTAAATTAAAATAACAAAAACAACCTTTGACAAACCATGGAGATGCCAGCAATGCGTAACTTTTGAAGTGATGATGTCAGTTTGATGTATGGAATTGGATTTCTAAGTTTTATACTCACGCCTTCTGCGCTTCTGTGTACAAGTGAAGGAGTGGGAGAAACATCCAATCGACAGGCAGCAGGGCACCAGTGAAGGCTGGCAACATAAATGAATCTATCGCATGCGGTTGATGCAATGACTTGCATCTGAGAACCAGCAGAAAAAATAAAGGTAATGCAGCTCACTCATTAAAGGTAGTACCCCACTAGAGGTGTTCTTCTCAAGAACCTCTAGACACTTTATTCTTTGTGGTTGTCACCACTGTCAGGGAACACGAATCAAAAGTCAAGCGTAAAAATGCAACTTGAGTTTTCCTTCCAATAAAACTTGTACATGTTGTACCATTCAGAAGTGCACAAACCCAATCCACTATCCACTTCAAAACAGTTTAACTTAGCTAAACTTGTACCACACGGGGCACTGAGAAATCAGAAACTCACCTTGACCTTGCCAATGACTCCAGATCCGTTCCAAAAAACACCATGTAAATATTGCGTATACTGACTAGGTGCTCATAGGCTCTTTGCAGTAGTTCGCCTCGACTTGGTTCAGTTTTGCTTAGGCTAGGAGCTACTGATGTTTGAGGGGCTGTCATACTGAGAAGATCAGCCAAGTCAGCTGCAATGGGATCACCGATTCTACCCTCACTGCAAGACAGAAGTCCATTTTTGTTTGTGCAATTCAAAAGTAGAGGGCGACTCATACTTGACACCAATGAAAATGCAAATCGTGGCGTCAGGGCTAGCATCCAAATTCGAAAACAAAATTGAACACATATCAACTTCGGTTGTGAAGGCTCAGTGATGTCAAATTAGTGATCACTTTTGAGTGTGAATTGGTCTTTCAATTCATTCCGACATTTAAGACCAATTGGACTTACGCTATGAAATCGGTGTTGAAGAGGACACTAGACATGAGATCATGGACATAATACTCATCTCCAGGTTGTAGGTGGACAAAGAGGGACAGAGCAGCGCTGTGGTACAGGTTGCTGTACTGATGACAACTCTCTGCTTGTTGAGCCTTCAGGGATGAACAGTATATGACAAAAAAAGGATAAGACTTGAGAAGCTTGGAATTTTAGTTCAAGTCAAAAATCAGTCAGTAGAATGCGGTAAGATATACTTGATAAGAGGAATCACTTTACTGGAAATAAAGGCACCTGATCCAAAAGACTGTAGAATATACAAAAGCAAATAAACTACAGTGAAAAATTGCATATCTAGTAATGGTGGAGTTGACATCAAGTGTAAACAAACTTTGGTTGAAATTCAGATCAGTTCGGCAATTGTCTTACTCAACAAACTTTTACGTAGTTTGCATATTTTGGGTTCTGGAGTATGTAATCATACCAATCAATCATTAATTGTATAAACCCTACTCCAACTCAAGCATAATTTATTCATCTTGAACAACTTATTCTCTGCACCTTATCGGCAACCCAACCAACCCCCCCTGACTGTTTTTCTTACCACACAATGATAGAGCCTTAGGAGGTAGTACAGAGCTTGGTGTTCAAATCTAGCAAAGCAGCACCCGAGGTGTGAGGAAGGCTTCTGGGTATTCTTACAAATCCTCTTTAAATAGGCTGTCACATAGGTGTTCTCAACAATTGGACAGAACTGCAGATAGAGTCCATTGCAAAATAGGATGGTGAACGGTAACTTCACCATAAAATAACCTAAAAGTGGATAAGTCATGACCATCAAGATATGAACACACTCTGAAATGTACTCATTATACGGTGCTTAGTAATGGACCTTTCCCATGAAATATGCAAATTTGACAGATGCATGCAGGCTACTACCACTGGTTGGCAAGTGTGGCAGTCAACGCTGTCAGCAGTGTAGGAAAGCTGCTGTAACCATAACCTGGTGCGTTGGAGGTCAATCAAAACCGTATTACAGCCTTTGTCCAATACTTCAGTACGCTTTTCTTGAAGCTGAGAGAAGCTTTTAGTGTCCTGAGTTTTGGAAAGTAACAATTCCTTGTTTTTAAGTTTGGCACTAGTACAGAAACAGCGCGTATGTGCTCATAGTTCCGCACGCATGGAGATTTGTATTGTTACGTCATAAATTTAAGCAATTTTGCCAACCAGTGGTATTCAATGTGCATGCGCCGGCCTTATGTGCATATTTCATGGGAAAGGTCAACTCATATCGGAGAGGGGAAAACATGATATGAAAATTTTATGTTAACCTGTTGGCTTCAACGGTTAAAACAAACGGAACCAGACTCTAGTTCTTGTTATCTTCATTACCTTAGCAGCAATTCCCTTGTGGATCTGAAGTAACGTGTGTACCAATCTGAGCAGGCCAATGGCTAGACCGCACGACGAGTCTTTCCTCACCGATGGGTAGTTTCTCTCATGGTTATGAGGGTCACAACCAAGATCAGGTAATGATGGTGCACATGTTGATACCTCCTCTTCTCTGAACCGTAGCGTGGATTGAAGTCTGCAGAAATTTCATAACAGATGTACTGAATTTATCAACCAACAAAAGGGCTAGACCATGCAATAACCCCTTTGAGAGATTGTGGGTTATGTGAAATTGTTGAAATGTTTAAGGATTTCAAAATGCCAAGAAACGGTAAGGCACTGGAGCACACAAAACGGAGGGGTGGAGAAACTTGGTGGAACATCAACTCCTACATGGCATCAGCCAAACTTACTTGAGATTGACCATGACATTGTAGAAGGTAGCTGAGGTCATGAAGGGTACCAGTGAATAGTAAACCAACTTCTCAACATTCTGCAAGCATTCTACTGGCCGGTAACAAGTCTGACAAGGAGACAGAAAGTCGGGCATGGGAATGATATAACATCAGTGGCTTGCCTTCCTTAAAATAACACTCTGAACAAGAGAACAACTTGACAAGAACGTGTGAGAAACGATGAATTTTGCAAAGAAGCGGTAAGACAAAACTCAAGGACAAAGAAAAGAAGAGGGTCAAAGCCAACACGGTATAATTTCACACAAAATTTACAGCTGAAATTTCAAAATGTAAATAAATCAGTAAATATACAATTCTGTGAAATGTGCAACAAAGCACACAATGACAGCTAGTTCATCCCACCCCAACCCAGTGAATTTTTTTTACATGATCAAAACCATCAATGGAACATTTTTAAACTATCCTACACCCTTTACAGTGTTTTTGTTATTATCTTGGATTAGTTCGGCAGCAACTTTTGTTCAGCATATAAGGAGTGCATGTAGTTCATTACACTTCTTGCACAGATCTTCTAAACACTTGGCAGTGATTGGGCCCAAAGCAAATAAAAGACCCTGGCCTGATGACCAATGTCTAACGACTCACCTGCTGCGTGTACTTGGCATAGAATGATGCCAGCAGGTTGAGGAGGCAGGAGACCAGGTCCATCACCTCCGCGTCGAGGGTCTGCGTGGTACCTGTCATCTCACCCAGCCACCTCTGACCGCAGAACTCCAGAGGTGCTTGCAGGCCACAGACGTGGCTCCAGTTGATGCTGGGGGGTGCTGGTTGGGGCTCTGAGGAGGTAGTCTGTGTCTTGTCATTACTTTTTTGAAGGGAAGAATGTAAAGTGTGAGATAACTTGTGTACGCAATGACAGGTGCTTATGTAGGTGGTAACATTTTGATCAACCAATTGAATTTTTGACGCTAGGTGCTTCAGAGGTCATGTGGTTCACCAGTACATAACAAGCAGGGGATACTTCCAATGAGGTATATTTTGTAACTCAAAGAAAAACCAAGCTTAAGAGATATGTGTCGCAGGCTACAGTCAGCTCACAGTAAGGGTACTTGTAGCTAGATAATTTTGTTGATAATAATTATGCTTCTTAGGTAACAGATGAAGTACCAGTGCAGGTGCTATGTGTGAGGCACTGGAACCCACTAGGGAATAGATGCAAATATGGAGACAGCATTGCTTTGCTTTGAGGTTGATGAACGACACTGGCTAAATTTTACACAACAACGCACTAGCCAGAAAAACGTACAAAAATATTTTTTTCATGTTGAAACACCAGTGGAAGGTATTGCATAACATCGGTTTAAGTAGAACATAACTAAAACACATTTGGGAATTTAAATACATTTAAATGTATCTGATCAGTGAAGAAAATTACACCAAATTAGGACTGTCAAGGCTGGATTTGAATATCACACTTCAAGACAGTAACATGTACAAACATGAGCCTTGTTACATCACACGAGCACATACCTCATTGACAACTTGGCCTGCAACTCAGCAGCCGTTCCAGCGACATTCACTACCCCCTCTAGTAAACCAAGGAATGCTGCAGCTCGGTTTATCTGTAACCTATGCACTGCAACATCGGACTCTTCCTCTGAAGATGGCAGAGGGTGGACTGACAATCTCTGGAACAGCATAAGTTGCTGCATGAGCAGAGGATAGAGCTCTCTGTAAGCAAACAAACAAAATGATTTGTAAAAGAGATCTCTGTTTTAAATCATTTCAAGCAAAAAAAAATGTGATCAACAACACCTTGAAATCATACCTTTAACTTTGAAGTCGATGTCCAACCATTAGGTACAAAATAAAACTAAAACAACGCCAATTCGTGCAAAGCTTCAACAATGCTGACACTACAAAGTCTAACAAGCTTTGTCACCAACCTGTAGTCATCACAGGCCAGTCCATAACCCACACACACCCGCCACACCTGCAGGCTCGCTGTGCTCAGCTCATATGCCTCAGCAATGTTCAGCTGCATATCTGGTGGCTCGACGGATATGTATCGCACAACAGCTGCCATCAGCCTATTACCAGACAGCTGCATGGGAAACAAATTCCACCTGCTGGCCTAAGACTTAGAGCACCTTGCCAGGTTGTTACTTTGTTAAGGGGACAATCTCTTCTGTTAGGAGGGTTAAGACAAAGTTGTGGGAACAAAATGTTTCCCCCTAACCTTTGTGATCCAAACAACATCTATGTTCCAACATGGGTATTTTCCTCACAACTACGTAACAACTATGAGTGAACACACAAGAATTCTATTGGGTTAGACAATGAAACATCTGTTAGCATTAAGCTTGTAAGTGTATTACCTAAATGCCTTTGTAAAAACAAGGCTATGGAATCCTCTATCTAGTGTAACATCATCTTGGCAAGTTCAGTCATTGCATGTCTAAGATATGTGTCTCAGTACACAGAAGCCAGGTTGAAGCTGTAAGCTGCATACATCTGTGGCTTTTTCCCTGAAAGGCTCAGGGAACACATGTGGCTCATAATGCTCATCTCACCACCAAAGATCGTATAGCGCCTCATAGTGGTACAAGATGGAGAACTTCACTGCAAATACACATAAAACGTTGTAATCGCATAGGCGCCATTTAAGAAAGCGATACGCCTGGGCAATGCACATTACTGCATAGGCGCAGGCGCCACGGCAGGCACATTCCACTGATCTCTAATTTACTCAGTGGCACGTTCACCTGGTGAGCCTGCGCCTGAGCTCTACCGTAAACTGCACAGGCGTATCGCTTGCTCAAATGGCGCCCATGGTAATTACACCCTTTGAGACAGAGTTATCCATCTTGCGCCTTCGGCGCTATAGGATCTTTGCTCACCACATTCACAAAAAGTCTCAGCAGCTCTAATAATGTAGTAAAGTATGAGAATGCCAGTGAGTGTGGGCTGGACATAGGGTCACTTTGATCAACTGCGGGTGTCAGTGACTGGAGGGATGGCTCAGTGTTCATAACTTTTTCCTGATTTTTTGGGAAAAAACTTGACCTATGACATATCAAATCTAAGGAACAATGATATCCCACCAGACGTGTGATCCTTCACTCTTCCGATGCTGAGGTAACAGTGATATATGTGTCATAGGTCTAGGATAACGAGTTCATACACTGGTTTGTGGAGTAACGGTGATGTATGTGTCATAGGTCTAGGATAACGAGTTCATACACTGGTTTGTGGAGTAACGGTGATATATGTGTTATAGGTCTAGGACAACGAGTTCATACACTGGTTTGTGGAGTAACGGTGATGTATGTGTCATAGGTCTAGGATAACGAGTTCATACACTGGTTTGTGGAGTAACGGTGATGTATGTGTTGTAGGTCTAGGGTAACTAGTTCATACACTGGTTTGTCTGATTACGTTGTGTCTCGACAAGTGCCGAGGGTAGGCAATGCCAAACTTACAAGAGACGCAGCAATGTTTCTGCCTGCCACGCAAAGGACTTTGACCAGCTTCATTGCCAAGACCACAGGGTACCCGTACACATCACTCACGACACCCTCTGAAAAAGACAAGGTTCAATGGTTGATCTCACATTCTTTTCAACAGTGATGCCATTTCACAAGAGCCTCAAGCACATCTTGGACTCGGACTGAATATGTTCAGACTACCATCAATGATCTTGCTAGCCTGACCGTCCAGGTGTGCACTCCATTCAACACAAAAGTTGCCACAATTTCACCAAATGCGAAAGTGTTTGCAAAGACTAGAGACTGATTGCATTATTTGAGTATTAATTAGTATAAACGGGAGTCTTTGAGATGCTCGTAGCAATAGATATACCAGTTCTTTTGTCACAGTCTGGCAAGTGCTCAGAACTATATGCCCATGCTCGAAACAACGCACGCGTGCTCAGCACTGATAAAAAGATGAGTATATTTGCCGCCACCAAGTGTCTTGAAGTCCCTCTTCAAGTGGAAACTTTTTTTTTCCACATTTCTTGGGAAGTAATGCACGTGCAACTGTGCAAAATGATTGAATAAACCAACTGGAAATAATAACTGGATGCATTCTAAGACAAGTAAATCTTTAGCTATAAAGGATGCCAAAGACCACTCACCCTGATGTTTCCAAGCCGCTGTCGGCAGAAACTCTCTCAGAATGGTCGGCATGAGACGGGGGCTTTTCATGACCTTGTAAGCAGCTTCCTTGGAGTGGTGAGAGATTCTCACCAGGATGGCCAAGGCATTGAGGACGACAGGGGCCGGAGGCCGGACTACCTCCAGGATGTAGCGGAGCCTCTGTAGGATCTTCATACGCAGAAGACCCTTTGAGGGTAGAATCACAAATACAAGAGACATGAATTGGGCAAGCGCATTTATTTCAATAATTAGATGTTCCCGTTGATAGGACTGAAAGATTTCTGATTGAATTGGTTTCCTAGGTTTATATATATGTGACCCACCATCCCATCCCAGGCTGAAGTCGGTACTTGTGATGTGGTACAATTCCTCTCTTTCAGCTTTTTTTTTACAATTTAAAGTGATCAATGTTAAATCAAACTGTCTGCAGTAAGCTTCTTGCGGGTAGTGATGGCTGTGAAACTCCCATGAAAATCTGAACAGCAGAAGTTCCACTATTTTGGGTTTATGAAGTTACTTACTTCAGCCTGATTTTGGGATGGTGGGTCACATATAACAGATGTGTCAGCTGAGTGGAAGCAACAAGTTGAAATGTTCAGTGGCATCTTTGGGGGAGACTGTGAGTACTAGCTCAATAATGATAACGCATCGAGTAGTCAATGGGACTGGTGTTTAAGGCAATCCTCACTCAGTATCTGAACCAGACGTTCTGAAAGCTCCCACTTCATTCACTTGACAGGTTGCATTTGCAGGAGCTGCACTTTGATCCCTCTTAAAATCAGACTAATTAATAGACACATCGAATTTGTCTATTTAGAAACAGCTTCATTGTCAAATGTAATGATAACCATATGGGCAATAGTTCTGCCATGTCCTGGTGGAAACATGACAGAAAGGTAAACAGCTACCTGTCCACAGTAAGTTAGTCAATGGCAACTTTTGAAGAAAATTTACACTGACCAGACTGGCCACCATACACACAAACCTCTTTTAAATAGTTTAACAGGGGATTAGTTTTCTCTGGTGGATCAAAGAGGGCCACCATGAGTCCCCATTCTGTACTGGCGGGATAAGTACTTGGTTGCTATGGTTACCTTGATGGCATCCTGCTTAGCAACCTGAGGATCGGACTTATCCTTCTCCTGTATCTCCTCCCCTTCTTCTGTCACATCCTCCGCATCATTCAGGGAGGAGCCAGGATGCAGGGGTGTGGCCTCCATACCCCGATGCCAATTAAAAACCCTGTCCACAACGATCTACAAAGTAACAAGTAACACATCTCACATCCATGTATCACTGTACAAACATTTTCAAGATAAGCAAAAGAAGCTCAGTACAGATAATACACAGATTAACCCGTCTGGCCCAATTTTATACAGGTGTCCTGCTAAGCATCAAATTACATTCAAGATAACAGGAATGGTTGGGGATCTTTCAGCACTCCAGATTTGGATCCAGAGCTCATGAACACAGAACAGCATTAGGTACAGAATCTGAAGTCATATGGTACAATAACAGAGTTATATTACACAATAAAGTAAAAAAATATTTGCACTCATAGCCATCACTCGGAATGCAGTGCAGGATGACTTGGGTACAGGAGACCTGAGATCAAAGTATGATTTCACATCATGGACGAAATCATTACACAAAAGTAATTCTCCAGGCTAAATGACTGCCTTTGAACTAAACCACAAAACCTCCCCACCTCGTCCCCTGGTTGTACAAGCAGAGCTGCTAATCCTTCCATAGTTGCTGCAATCACCCCTTCGTTGCTGTTATCTAGAGACCATCTCAGCAGAAACAGCGCCCCTGCCTCGAGGAGTTTGGGTATCAGGGGCTCTAGGAGCTCCCCACCAAGCTGATTCAGTCGACACTGTTAAACAAGACGCAACATATGTTACCCTTGTGCCTTTTTCATTTTTCTGTTCTCACTCAAGTTCCTTTGAAAATAGTCAGTAGATTTATTTAAGTAGTGCAGTCCAGTGCATTAGACTCAAGATCACCTTTTAATTTCATTGACCGTTTGGTTGATCAACTCGATCTCATTCACTGGGACTGGTATTTCTGTCATGACATTAACTGTCCCATTTGCCTTGAGCAGAAGCAGGAATTTCATCCTCAAAACTGTGACTGACACCATGTGCACTCCTGAAAAGCAGACGATAAGCTGCTATTGCTGACAAACAAATTCAACCATAGATTTCCCCTATACAGGTACACAGGCTTAGACAAAAGTTGTCAGCTTACATTATAGATGACCCTTGCGAGTGTCTGCAGTGCCAATACTCGCTGCTGAGTGACAGCACTACGAGACAAGGTGAACAACTCCTCAAGTGAGTATCCTGGAACCTGTGACAAAACACACACACAGGGCACAAACAATCTCAGTGAGTAAGCCTAAAGGCTAAGCTCTACAGGTGAAACTCAACTTCCTAATTCTTTGGCGGCCACATTTTTTATTTGGAAAGACATGACTGCACTGCTCAGTGCAGTGCAGAGAGATAAGTGAGAGAGAGAAGGTTGAACATCCCATGCAAAAAGTCAACTGGAATTTTGTATGGATTAAAGATGAATGCAAGCTGGACCTGTTTTTGCATAGATTCGGATCGCTATCAGTGATCCAACAGATCAAATGCTACTCTGGGCACGCCAGATGAAAGACGGCGATGTTTGTTCAGTAGATTTGAAGAACTATTGACCTTTGGAGCAGTATTCCTCACAATTCTTTAAGAATGTATTTTCATGATTAAAAAAAACCAATTAATTAGCTTTTCCAGGAAATTATACATTGTACCTCATAAAAAATGGCCCTTCTACCAACAAAATCCAAAGCAGAAGACATTTATCTTGTATGACAATATGTTCAATCAACAGTGAGATTTGTAGTTGTTTGTAATGTTTCTGTTGGCATGAATCTGAATCACAGGATTTGAATCAGAATTTGTGGCAAACCAGGGCCACACTGTCAGATCATATTTCATGCCATCTACCAGTACTTTCATTCACTTGCCCAGGCTCAACATTTGCCAACCAGACCACTATTATCGACAGCTGTTGGCTTTAACTGCTGATTCAATGTCCAAGGTTTCAATCAAACACCAGCTGATGTCTGATCCGACCCGATGTTTTACTGACAAAGTTAAACATGATGTAGGTCTACTCCAAATAACACAAAAATAGTGTACTCCCTGTAAAGTGTCAGTTTTAATAACAATAAATTCCTCTAAGTTTCGTTTGCCTTTATTGTCATTGAGTTGAGAGAATAAATTGTATGCATCAAATCACACGATACCGGTAGCACTCCACACGCAGTGCCCACATAACTCACTCATGTACATGTACAGTATACAGAGTATTAGATAAGCAGTGACTATGCCTGGTGCCACAGTCTAGTGCCCTGGCTCCGTTCATGACGTACAACAGAAACTGTACATATGTAAACCGACAGTCTGTGAATTGAGTAGTTGCGGTACGGATTGCAGGCAGATGTAATTTTCGTGGATACTTTACGTGGGTATCCGTGTAACTGTTCATTTGTCGAACTAAATGAGTAAACCACAGTTTTTATTCACGCTCATATAAAAATATGAGATTTGTGCTTGAGTGCAGGGTTTGTTCCTTTCTTCAATTTAACATCGACGATCACATCGGTAAGGACAGTCAAATTTTGCTGATCCAGTGTTTTGCCAATGTTGCTGAACATCACCCCGATCCAATGTCCCATCCAATTATCAGTTGATCCCTTGTCTAATTTAAGAGCATCCTTACTGGACAGTTTGGATGGGCAAAGTTCAAGCAGTATAGCATTATTGGTTGTCAAGTTCATCACGTCCAAAACACTGAGTTCAGTTTGTTCTATCAACAAGATCTTGTAACATTAATTTTGGATTTTTGCCCTGCCCAATGTGTATCATAACACTGTATACTCAGTGTTTGCCCACCAAGGCTTGAGATAAAACTACAAGCGTACTCGGGTGGGAGGTCATGGGTTCCCGTCCCACCCAAGTACAGTGAAACGTTGCTGTACCGAACACCGCTATACCGAACATTCAGCTGTACCAAACACCGTCCTTGGCTCCCAATATGCTGTGCACAAAACCTACCGAACATTATGCAGTTGCAAATCAACCGAGATTCGCCACAGCATACATCAGAAATCGATCCTGAGCAGTAGCTTCATGAGTTTTAGGATAAACTGAATATCAATTTTGTAACTTAAGATTTAACAAAAACAACAACAATAATTAACAGATACATTTCTAGAAACCTCAAATGTGAATGCAAGGCAAAACATCATGAAAACAGCAAATCATAGTATCACAAGAGGGTGCACTTCAGTTAGACAAGAGAGGGCGCTATTCAAAACGTTCGGAATTTAATTTCGCTATAACAAACGACCGCTGTACTGAAATTTAGCGTGGACACCGTCGTGTTCGTTATAGCGGCGTTCCACAGTACACTTGGGGCAAACACTGAGTATAAAGTGTTATAACACACCACAAGCAGGCAAAAATCCAAAATTAATTAGCATCTCCCCGGCACAAATCCATCCTTGGCAATCTTGTAACATCTAATCTGGCCCGATCTTTACTGTGATCTGCCAGCCTGAGGACACTATCATACCTCCTGCTCTTCTCCATGGTGGTGTAATCCCTCCCTGACCGGTATCTTGGCATCCCTGGCCACCAGCTGACCGTTGAAGTCAAACCTGGCTTGGGCGCCTTCCTTGGACTTGGCTGAGGGCTTAGGCAGGTCCTTCATCCACTCCAGCTTCTCCGACTCCACCTGGTCCATGTGGACCCAGGCGTCTTGGACTTGCATAAGAGGTTCAACTGAAGACAGAAATACCAAAAAAAGGCCACGGGGCAGTTCCATGACAGTATCAGCCCTGCTTAGACTTATCAGAATTTTCAAAATATTGTAATAAAAGTGGTTTCTGAATCAAATTGCGGAAGAATATGTTGTTGCTGACTTTGTATTGTCACTTTGTCAAGTTGAGTTTTTTGAATTTCAAGTTTTATTGCCAAAATGTCTACATTTTTAGCAGTATATTTTTATATACACCTTTAGCTGGTCAACTTAATTTTCATCAATCCATATTTCCTGAAGTGAAACCTTTCATTACTGCAGCATATTTGTTTCTGCATCAAGTCAAGTAACAACCTTCAGCAATAAACAAACTTAATTAAGTTTTTAATAACTACATGTACATGTGGACAAGATCAGATTAAGCCTGACTGATTCCCAGCACAAAGTCAGATCAAAAAGCTGAAATCCATCTGACTTGCTATTTCAGAATCTCATCACTAACTAGTGATTTTAAAATAATCGCATTAGTTTCACAACATTAGTAACTTCATTCAGTAATTTGTACAGAAGACAGAATTTGATCACAAACATCAACTGAGCGATTACTCATTTGATGCACATTCACAATTTTCAATAGAAATTATTGGTAGATTTTTAAGTGTTACCATTCTCGACAGATCCATCATCCATCCTTTCTGGCTCCTTGACTGCATCAGCGACTGCATCATCACTGGACAAACCTACAGCGTCAGCAGTAGGTTTGTGATCCTTATGACATTCAGGTTGTGACTCATCACAGGCTGACCGGTCTGTCTCCATAGGTTCACTTGTTTCAGCAGAGTTGCCAACGGTTGTCAGTGAGTCAGATGCAGTGACCGTTGTGGCTGACTTTTGTTTGTGCCTCGACTGGATGAATGATACGAGACTGGGATCTGGGGCAGACAGAAATAACACATGACAGTTCATTTCAATACTTAGTAAAAACAATACATGGTAACTATTGCGCATGGAAAAAAACCAAGCAAACAGAAAGAAAATCTTTGCACAGAGGCAAACAGTGACTGGATACTGATGGGAAATAAACAATAAAATGAACTGATTCCATTATCCATTTCATTCCATGTTTAACCACTTCGTGCCGGGGCATTTTTCAACGTTGAGGATGCTGAGCCAGCATGACTATCATTTTTTCCGTTTTCAAAATCCTTCAACAATTCATCATTCCATTTAACAGTCGTTTATAGTCACACAGANCAGAGCCCAGATTGTGCGGTGTTATACAACTGTCTTTTGTTCACGAACCTGGCTCAGTGCGCTACTGACCTCTTTTCAATAGGGGCCAGCTTAGCATGCAGCGGTGCTGTGTGGCTCATCACTGCGGTGGTGGAGAGCTTTTGTCCCCGGTGGTAATCTGCTTGCTCTAAATACCCCAAACCCTGGTATACGGTTTCAAAATAACACTGGATTATCACCACTTTTGAGAGTGAAAAATGCTGGTAATGCCCAGCAGCCTGGTTTTTTGTTCGGAGTACGGTCTTTTGTTACAGGGCCCTGTTTCCTTTGTCCGAGTTCGGAGACCCCGGCCACACATATAAACCATACGGCTCCGATTTCGGAGTCCCCCGCTGGTAGTGGTTAATAGAAGAACTACCGGGATAATCATCTATTTTCACTTGGGTGTTTGATGTAGTACCACTTGAATGCTGTTGGTCTCAAATCTTATCTGGGTCACTGCACGAGGTTGGGGCGCAACTTGTGAAGATGTCAACTGTTACATGGGTTCCGTAAAAATGAACAGCTCTTTCCCTGCATGTGGATTCCAAAGTGACATAGTTATACACCTTGCAAGACTGAATACAGAGGTGTGTGTTAGTTTTACAGAGTAAATGACCAACTCTGAAGATCATGAAAGATGGTAACGGTTAACGATGTAACAAGGACATCGTCACAAATTGTGCCCCAACCTCATGGAATGACCCATCTACTTGTCTTGGATTCATAAAGCTCTCATACCTTGACATCTTAGGGTATACTGTAGAAGTGTGTTTTTGTCTCATTTTTATTGTTTCTCAGAACAAGTGTGAAATTATATACACAAGTTGCATCATCTGCTTACCAAGTATTGCTTTATCATCTGCTTACCAAGTATTGCTTTATCATCTGCTTACCAAGTATTGCTTTATCATCTGCTTACCAAGTATTGCTTTATCATCTGCTTACCAAGTATTGCTTTATCATCTGCTTACCAAGTATTGCTTTTAGCTTTCTCTGTTCCGCCAGTATTTCTTCCTCTGACATCTTTGATAACAGATCCAGATTGTCACGATTGATCTCCTCCCGGTCCTGACCTGAAGATCCGCTTATCTCCGCCGATGCACTGATCATGTCGCTCCCCTTGGCTTCCTGCATATCTTTGGGGATGTTTGCTGTCCTTGTGGCTGGTGATCGGGTGGTTGGATGGTGGGCGGTCACACCAAAACTGGAGGGGGAGGACCTATCAAACTGCCGGGCAAACAAACTCTGCTTCTTTTTGGTCTTGGAGGGAATTGATGCTGGCTACAAGTGGAAGACAATGACCAAAGTTATGAGCGATGCAACATAAGACGTAAAATGTAACATCGGACAAGGTCACTGTCTCATTCTTTAATGATATCTCCTGTCTCTTTTTTTTTCGTGAACTTGTCCCTAGTCAGAGGCTTCTTAGTGGCCACTTGGCAATAGATAATTTTACAAGGTCCTGTAAGCCTCATGCACCTCACAAAATTTCAAATTTATGATTCAGCTATGACCCAATAATTGAACAGATGATTTTCGAAAGAGCTCAAGGTAGGCCTAAAAGTAAGGGATATATGTAAATTAAAATGAATATTAAATAGTAATTCTTGGTTCATAAAAAATCCCTCTCAATTAAATTGCATTATCTGACACAGTGGGAAAGTTGTGATATTACAAAACCAACCTGCTGGTCAAGGCCAATGCCCCTGTGCAGCACCGAGGGAAACCCCTGATTTGATGTCTTGGGCAGAAATCTAGTAGTTGGAGCTGCATCACGTTCCTAATAATAGAAAAAGCTGACTAAATTTGTTATTAATAAACAGAAGGAGAAAACGAAAAGTCTAGCATTCAATACCCCATGCCAAACTGGAGCATTCAATCTTAATCCCAACAGTCCTCAATCCTTCACCTGTTGGAGGACTGAGGACTGTTAGGGTTAATGTATAATGTTGCACAGGAGTTTTGCTTGTATACAGTATACTCAAGAAAACCCCTGGACAGCCAAACCTCATTAATAAGGTCCTCTGGACCTGGAAAATTACGTTGTTATAAAAGGAACTTGGTATTATCAGCAGTGAACATAATGAAGAACAAAAGATTGAGACCTAACAATGTCTTTGTTATAAGCAGAATTCTGCATTAACAGAGGTTCATTAACAAGGTTTGACTGTATTTAGCAAAAGTACTGTACCAGCTATTGATTGCATCAGTCGACATCTGTATATCATACATTATGACAATGCCTCTCAGCTCAGTGGTGGAAACTTTTCTGAATTTACTCACATCATACATTGTGCATTGACCCACCAACATGTAAATACTGGTGGCTAAGCGGTTGATGTTTTTGTGACTTCAGACAGAGAGTCGGTGGTTTGAATCCAGCTGGTGGCTTTATGTTGTGGCCTTTGTCAATCAGGAGTGTAAATGGGTACCAGCATTAATGGGGAAGCAACCTGTGATGAGTTGACATCCCATCCGGGGTGGGGGGGGGCAAATACAAATATTCTCAGAGACCAGAGATAAACACCGGCCTGGAGGCCACATGGCTCCGAACAGATTTGCTTTTCTTGCTTGCGGTAACCCAACTGCACATTCCTTGTACACTTAAATTCTGTGTTTCGTAGTAGAAAGAGAATTTGAAAGGCCCATATCTGCCAAGAATACTGGCACACCTGTATCAGTTGCAGCAAAGTTGGAGTAGAGTTAATGACAAAAGGTTACATACATGCAGGTCAAAAATTGAACATATCGTGGGCTACTTACCATAATTTTAGCTAGGACAGATGTTATGTGCGTGTCTCGTTCTGTAACAAAAGACAACACGGTCAGGGTAATGCATACCAGCTGGTTTTTGTCTTAAAGTTTTTCATCCCTGAAAAACATCTGTTGTATGGTGTATTGTCTTGTCTTAGGCAGCTGATGTTGTGGTGCCATTTCCTTCCAAAGGCCCCTCTGAGCTTATGATGATTCAAGCCCATTGATTCTTCTGTGACAATGCCACTCCACATTGCCAAATTCTCTTTTTTATTTGTCTGATATGCTCCAAAATCTTCACATACTTTCCATGGCCTCTTCTGGGTCATCTTCATCCTCGTCTAGGTCAAAGGTCACTCTCTGTTCACTGCCAGTCTGAAATAAAATCACTGTAGTTTACTTCTCCGAAACTGTTTGAATCTACTGAAGTTTCCATAGTTATAGTGTAAATTCCATTATGGCACAACATTAAAGGATGAGATCTAAGCTTTTGTGTAATCACTTTCACTTTTGGATCATTGATTCACTGATCACAAGTTTGCTGCAAAAGTGATTTGAACAATGAGGCATTTTGGCTTGGACAGTGATGGCAAACTCCCAAGATATATTTCTTGGGAGGTTTTGAGAATTCCTGAAAGTGAAAGCAGATTTAACAATGCAGCCACAGAAACATAAAAATGAAAAACAAATAAACAGTGGGATCATTACCAGCTGGCCGAATGCCTACCATGACTTTGCAAAGTCATCTTTATCTACAAAGACACACAAATGGTGGTGCATTGTTATGAACCATTCCTGGTAAAATACTTACACATTAGTTTGGAAAAGCTTTTTATATAGATGCCAAAGAGATTATAAACAGTTTTCTCAACAGTGCAAACTGCCTGTAACTACATGTATCTTACCACTGTTGTCTGTTGCTCTTTGAATCTGGATTTTTTCTTTTGAGGAAAACCTGCAGATTCAAATGTTGTGGACGCCACAGGTAACCCTGGAAAATAGAATAATAGTCGTCAGCATGACAATCAAAATTTCTCAAACAAACTTAAAGCAAACAAATTGTCAGCTTGAAAAATCAGCAGCCTTTTCCCTTTTCCTACGGGCTCCAACTGCACACCATTATCTGTCATTTCTTAATAGATGAACACTTTTAAAGGTTTCCTAATTTATGTTGTTGACCTTGCAAATACAGAACACAGAAAAAGACTAGGAGCAGTCTCACCTGCAAGTTGCACGACATCTTTCTTGACTTCAATCGTCTTATCTTCTGGGGCTCTCCCTTCAGCTGATGGTTTCCGTTTGTCAGGCCGTTTCACCACCCTGGCAGCAGATGACTGCTGTTGAGCCAGGAATTCCTCTTGCTGCCTCAGCAAGTCTTCCTCCGTCTCGCCTGGCTTGGGACGTCTGATCATGGCTAGTGTGGTTCAGTAGCTGGGTGTTAACGACATTAACATCACTGTGGATACATCAGAAAATGTTCCCTTTGCCTGCACTTTTCAGGGCAGTTTAAGTTTATGTGACAACTATGGTTCATCACAATTCAAGCAACGTATTAAACTTTGATGGATAAATGGATGGATTGATTCCGTTGACAAGTTGACACCAGACCCACAGAGACGGTTACCCCTAGAACTAACAACACGTACAGGGTTCATCGACCTGCATCTTCAACCAATAAGCCCCATTGTCTTAAGAGTAAGGGATGGTTATAGCACTGTTTAATTTCAACTTTTTAAAAGTTTAATAGCCTTTTTTACTGGAGGGAATAAACCAGATATCATAAGGGGCATTCACCCTCACCCAAACTCTTCAAACAGCTTCTGAGGAAAAATTGGACACAGCTCGACGAAGTTCCGTCAAGAAATTCCTGTCAGTATATTGAGGCAGTAGAAATATATGTAGCATCATGGAGCAGTGTGGATGTTTTCACCTACAATCTACGCCTTGCTTCATGCATGTTAGGGCCAAAACACAACAAATGGTCTAATGCAACACCCTGACACAATGCATCCTCCACAATGAAGCACAAGTTTTGACATTCAGGCTTTGTCCTCCAAAACCACTCTGAGGTTTTGGGGAGGATCAAGGAAGGTGAGAGATAGCTTAATTCTCGCAGTCAGAGGTTGGAAATATTCATAGCGCATAAGTAGTGAAATTTCAGGCACATTTGATGTAAAGGTTAAAAGTTTAGTCAATAATTCAAATCTTCCCCAGAGACCGCAACACTGCATGTATCTTTGCCCCTTTGAGTTTTGAGTGTGAAATATGGAATAGCAACCAATTGACCAATCAGAGACAAGAATCAAGACTCACTCAGTGACATCATCCCGACCGCGAAAATGCTGTCTTGGGGTGATTTGTTCCATTTTGTCAAAATGCTAACGTTTCTAGCAATGATTTTGTTAAGCCCCAACTGCAGCATCTGTCCCAACTAGGTCATTCTATAAATTTTGGGTCCGACATGTAACATTTTCCTGTCCCTGTTACACCTAAAATGTATACTTTGACAAGGGAAATACATGTACATGTATCACTGAAATCGATTTCAAACTGCTTTTAACTGCTCAGCTGAAAAGTGAAAAAGCCACCATTGCACAACACAAATTGCATACCACGCATCATGAAGCAATTTTTAATGGAATTTTGTCACATGGTGTGCTTTTAATATAGGCAACATCGGTTGCAAATCATATCCAAAACTACATTTTAAGTAACATTTGAGGTGTTACTATGCCCAATCTATACTTGTTATATACAAAGAAATAGACAACTTATTTTGGATTTTTTGCCTTGCCCGACGTGTATTATAACAGTGTATACTCAGTATTTGCCACAAAAGGCTTGTGAAAAAATTCCACAAGTGTACTCGGATGGGACTTGAACCCACGACTTCCTGCTTGCTAGTTCAGATGTCTTAACAACTCGACCACTGAGCTTGCACTAGTAGTAGTAAGCAGAAAGTCGGGGGTTCGAGTCCCACCCGAGTACGCTTGTGGGTTTTTTCACAAGCCTTTGGGGGGCATAACTGAGTGTACAGTGTAAAAATACACGTCGGGCTGGGCAGAAAAATCCTAAATTAATTAACATCTCCCCGGGGCAAATCCATCCTTGGAAAAAGCCAATTGCAAAGAAGAAGAAGATGGAGATGGGAACCTTACATTTATTATGATCCCACAACACACAGGGAATGACTTCATTTGTTTCGCCAGAACTTTTTCTACCCCAATTTTAAATGCAGCAACAACTTTGACATTCATCTTTTTACTTATTGGTACACGTATATTTAAATTGGTGTTTGCAGTAAGGAATGATAAATATGCGGGTATTGCAAGTTTCATTTTCTTGGTTGACTTATTCTTCTACAGATGTCTGGAACAATCAGTAAAATGTCCCCTTTCTGAGTTTTAATTCCGTAAAGTTATAACCATCTCATTAGACCTGAACTATGTCATCCAAAATTAATGTTACAAATTCTAAATATCCCTTGCAAAATTCTTTATGTTGTATAAAAAAAAGCACAAAAAATGAGACATTAATGCAGATGTAATTGTTAGCTATTAATTGCCCCGGAGGGTGAAAGTACGATTGATTACAAGTCTACTGTGATGGACATTTTGGGCGCGGATTACACAAGCAGAAAGTTTTTCAGCACAGAAGCCCTTATTTTGATTCCCCAAAAAATGGACACTTTCACGGTTAAAATGTGTCTTTACACACCTACATTCAGGCCGCTACATTCAGAGCTGAGCGCATAGTTTCACTACTATTTTTAGGGGTATCTTCGGGAAAAGTCGAATAAGAAAGTTCATAAAATTGAAATGAAAAGTGATCGATCTGGCCATAATCTATAATTTCCGGTGAAAAAAAATAATCTTGGATTTCCAGCAAAAAAAATGAAGGCCAACCTTTTCGCAAGATTCAAGAATTGGCACTATTCAGTCTACGGGTGCGTATTTGGTGTAGTGCAACCATAAGACTGAGTGGGTCCGAGCTGACTCGAGGTGGGTCCGAGTTGGCGTGGGTCCGAGTTGGTCCGGGGTTCGAGTTGGCATGGGTCCGAGTTGACCTGATCCCGATCAGTCGAACATAACTTTATAAGCCTACCTGGCGAGTATGAGTCAGTCAGAACTTTATCAAAACACCAGGGATTCAGTCAGCATATTCTCGAAGAGCAGGCATTCACAGTAATTTGCATGGGCGACAGTGCAACCTGTTCTAGAGAGTAAAGCTGATGACACCGATCCCTGTCGTTGTCACTTGCATGGCTTGTCAAAGCATGGTCAAAGTCACTTGTGTCATCAGTCTAGCACGCGCACGCACATCATGCACATTGCCAAAAATAAACCAGGTGAGGGCGCTGTCGATTCTGATCAGTTAACTGTAGAGGGCGCTATTTACTCTTGTTGTCTGGCAACCCAAACAAGTACGTCGAGTTCGAGTTGGGAGTTTGAGGTAGATTTTCTTTCAGTTTTACATGGTTTACGTATTCACTCTGAAGTCAGACTTATTATTGAAATTGTTGGGCACAGAAAAAGGAAATGCAAGGCTCCTCTGGAACTGTGCAAATGACTGAATTCACTCAGACTGTCCAACTCCTAGCCCTAGTGTGGCACGGACTCTCACTCCCAATCCATCCTTAGCCGCACATCAGTATACGCAATTTCGTGTCGGCGTACTGAACATTTTCGGCGCACTCACTTATCATCTTGGGCGCAATTTCTTTTGCACACGGACATGATCTTTGACCTTTCTGCTTTCTTAAAACCATTTATTTAATGATTTCACTCACGTTATTCAGATATTTTCCAGTCTTTTTGCCTTTATCTATTCAATCTAACAGGCTCACTCTCTCAGTCGCCATCTTTAGAATAAGGTCGTTGAACATTACGTCACTTGACCCCTCATCGTCTTGACGGCTGCTCCATGTCAAGCCATATGTAATACACGGACTGAGCAATAAGATACTACATGTACCAATGGGCTCTTCCAAAACTTTGGCAGCAGTTTAGATGTCTTGACATGGAACAGCCATCGAGACGATGACACATTGACTTGGATAATGTTGAGACATTTCCCACAGACTTTGGCCAACAATAGTTGGGCCAGCCCAACTGCAGCACTACAGTTGGGACTGTCCCAACTACAGTTGGGACTTATGGTATAGTTGGGATGTAACATCGCTACCACATTTTGCACAATGAGTTTGAGTTATTGCACAAAGGTACTGAGTTGGTCACTTAGAAAACATTCAGAACATTTCGGACCAGTCTCCATAGGGTTTGCAGATTTGTGCACAGGGTGTCAAGCAGAGTCAGGCATATGCATATGTAGATTTCTTCCTATAATCTGAGTGGTTGGGTGCAAGAAGTCAATCCATACTGTACAATCACTCGATCTTTGCAGGACATGTCAGTCTTAAGTTATGCACAATATGCCAATATTTTGCCGTTCATCCAATTGCTTTCTCTTTCTAATTTGGGGTTGTGGAAGATTGTTTCAAAACAGGTTGAGTTATAATAGGGTTTGTGCACAGGGTGTCAAATGATGTCATCTTTCTGCACCTTGCACATGCACAGTCAAACACTGTTTCTTTGGCAGTGGCAGTGCTGCACCTTTTTAAATGGTTTATCAATGCATTTTTGGCTGAAATCTTGCATTTCAATTTTCAAGTTGGTGTATATTGCTGTATACAATGCCATAAAATAATGCCTAAATCTGTCGCAGATGCGACCAAATTTTTGCCAGTGCAATCATATTTTCACCATACAGTCACCATTTGCGACTTAAGATAGCTCAAAAACTACATAAAAAGTGTACTTTAACAATTTTGAGTGTGCTTAAACATCAAAAAAGCAATGATTATTTACTCAAAATTAGTTCCGGAAAGGTATAAATGGCAGTGCAAATCGCATCATAAATTTAAAGCTTACTGTGTGCGCTCTACATGTACTGTCTACGTATATTGCGGTCACACGCACAATCTGCATGGGGTACCGGTACAAGTCAGTGTTGGTTTCAGTCTAAACATACGTTGTTGATGTACTGTATACGGACACCAGGCATGCCAGGGCCATTTTATAAACCATGACTTGGGCTTTATTTTTTGCTGCTTTTTTGCTGCAATATAAATGAAGCTTGAAACGAACTCATACCAAAATTAAAGGGTATCACTGTGATTTAGAATGTCAGAAATAGCGCGATTCATGCAGCAGGGTGTCCTGCGACACGCTGACACTATGGATGACATGACATCCGTGGCTGAACCCCCTTGACAAGAACCCTGATTTTGTAGATAGACTTTATTGGCGCTCATGTACGTACATATAATGCACGTATGTGTGTCGGACCTGGTCATGATTCTACGGTTATGGATGGACGATATAAACACAGGTACATACATTAATACTACACGTGTGTATGTACATTCATGAATATTCAGTGCATACTGGCACAGTTCTGTCAAATCTGTGCAGCTTTCGAATCAACTCGTACCTTGGGTGAATCGTACCTTGAATGACTTGCACCTTGGACGGCTCGTATAACTCATACCTTGATTTAAGACCACTCATACCTTCATGTTATCAATTTGGTTGTAACTTTCTTGCTCTTCCTTTTCAGTATGTTTAAGATCAGATCTGACAAACATATCATGGAAAAATCATAAATATCCTGGAGAGATCTCCAGCACCATCATGATTTTCTGCGTGGTGCCTGCCGCAGGCATTTGTGCCGTCAGTTTACGTGACGGGGCTTTGTCGAACGACCCGACCATTTACCAACTTGACTAATTCATTAACATTTTGGGGGGGGGCTTTACAAAACTTTAAATTCAGTTTTTTGGGGACTTCAATTTATTCTTATGGCTGTGGGAAACCGTTATTGGACTTTTTCATTTTGTGGGGGAATGATGGCTTTGTTTAATAACTTTTTTGGGATGTGCTTATTAAAACTTATTATGTCTTGATTTCTTTTGGACATCTTTCTGGTCTCGTTGTTTAATTTTCTTGGGGGGGTGGTTGCCTTCCTTCCTAAAATTCTTTTTTTTTGACAAGCTACAACTGAAATAAATGAAAGCAAGACATCACTCCATCATCACGGTGGACTGCACGGTGAAGATTCCAAGAACGCAATGACGGCTGGCCACGTTGACCAACGTCAGTTGCCTGACTGCGCGTGCACATGCACGATGTCGATGCGTCTCACATTAATGTCACCCCACCGGTGTGTAGAGAAGGCAGTGTAGCCAAAATGGCAAATTGGGTGATGAACACATGACTAAGAAATCAAATTATTGTTCAAGTTAATTACAATAATAATAAGCTCTGAGAAAGCTCTGATTTCTGCAAAGGTAGGAGTTGTCTCGTACGCGAAGGTACGAGTTGTCTTTACTATAGGTATGAGTTGTCCAAGGTGCGATTTGGCAAAGGTACAAGCTGGTACAGTTATGTTGAGTTGACAGTTACGAGTTGTCCATGGTACAAGTTATCCAAGGTATGAGTTGTCCATGGTACGAGTTGTCCAAGGTACGAGTTGTCCATGGTATGAGTTGTCCAAGGTACGAGTTGTTCATGGTACGAGTTGTCCATGGTACGAGGTATCCATGGTACGAGTTGTCCAAGGTACAAGTTGTCCGTGGTACGAGTTGTCAAAGGTACGAGTTGTTCAAGGTACGAGTTGTCCAAGGTACAAGTTGACCTGTTCCCGCTGTGCACAATTAAGCACAGTAGCTACTGGAACTCACCATGTTCATTATCACACATACTAATCGTACATAAGTTTTACTGTACGCTAAGATCAAAAGTTATTGCTGCCTTTTTAAAATTTGTTGGTGCCAGTATTTTTCCCCGTAGGGGCCAGTTGATTACTCAACTTTCATGAAAGTGCTGACCCCCAGATTTTTCCTCATTAGGAGTCAATGGCTACCGTTGATAGGGTTGATAGGGTTGGCTGTATAACATGCATATTTAGGCTATATTCATTTCAGAGTATTCTTATGTAATTATGAAATCCTTTCAAAGACAGGTATCACTTAAAAATAATGTTTGTGGATTTTGCTTTGGACGTGAAGCCACAGTTTTTGTTTTTAATGTCAAAATGCTATCTTTAACTGACAGGTTCTATTCAGTGCTTGAGTTAGGAGAATTCTACTTTCATTGTGAACGACACCATCCGCTACAACAGCAATCATGACAACGGAGCCTCCAATCACTGACCAGGGGAGTGTCCACAGCGGAGGCAAGGAGGACATCAACATGAACAACAATGCCAAGCCAGGAGGGGACAAACAGCCCGGAAGGGCAGGAGTGCGAAGCGGAGGTCGCAAGTCCCTGCCGTCACCGATAACAAGTGCCCGGAGTAACCCCGCCGCTGATAATCGCAATATGAGACGCATCATTGCTGAAGATCCTGACTGGTCACTGGCTACTGTGCCCTTGCTGACTGAGCTGTGTGTGAGCCATGTTGTCAACAAGTTTGCAGGTACTGTTGATTGATGTCTCTGTTATGTTGTGGTGCATTAACATCGCCTCTGAGAGGGTATAAAATCTGTGTTGCAATCGTGACTAGCATCACAAACATCAGTTTCTAGGAATTTTAGTCAAAACGTTGAACAGTTGTCTATTCAGTGAGAAATGATTTTGTCTTGTAACTCAAACATTGCATAGGTGCTGAAGTGTGTGGACATTGGGGCAGAGCAGAATTAACTTTAGAGATTTCCTCCCCCCCCCAAAAAAATATGACCATTCCATTCAGCATATCATGTTGGAAACAGGGCATCCTAATTTGCTTTAAACTGCAGTAAAATTAAGAGTCAAATTTCAGGTAAATTTATAAAAGTGTTTACTTTCCACAAGACATATAACCCCTATACTGTAGCTACTTCATTTGAGATTCAACACTTCTAGTGCTATGGCTGGGTACCTTTCTTCACTTTTTGATCGATGACGCTTTTTTTTCCTACAGAGCATCCCAAACTAGATGAGTTACTGCCTAAATATAAAGCCAAGGTCTTGGAGAAGATTTCCACGGACCTTCCTCTGAATGTGGTCGCTCACCTTGTGTCAGATGAAGGCTACTGGGAACGTCGCTGCAAATCCCGCTGGCAGGTCTGTGATGTCTCCAAGTTTGACGGCAGCTGGAAGAGAATGTTCTTTGAGCGTCACCTAGAACACATCGTCGAGCACTTCGTCCCCGAAACCACAGACCTGACGGAGCTGAATGCCACCCTGCCACTTGCGAGCCCCTACATCAAACGGCTGAACATCAAGCAGCTCCTCCCACCAGTTAAGGAGGAGCTCGCCAAACAGGTGGAGGATGTGTCAGACGCGGGCAGCGACGCGGGACTGGATGGGCCCAGCATGGACCACTTTGAGTTCAGCCTTGTGACCCAGAAGCTGCCCCACCTCCAGGAGCTGCGCATCACCTACGGAGTCCAGGACTGTGGCATGAACTTTGAGTGGAACCTGTTTCAGTTCACTTCCCGCGACTGCCAGCTCCTCTCCAAGTGCCTGAAGGCCTGCCGCTCGCTCAAGATCTTCCAGCTCCACCGCAGCAAAGTGGACGACGATAAGGTCCGAGTGTTGATCGCCCACATCCTGGACCATCCGTCCTTGCAGGAGCTGGACCTGTCTCACAACATGATAGGGGACAGTGGAGCTCGTGCCGTGGGCAAATTGCTCAACGGACACTGTGTACTGAAGAAGATTGACTTGTCCAACAATCGTATCAGAGCCAATGGAGCTGGTGCAATTGGTCATGCACTGGCAAAAAACACATCGCTCAAATACCTCAACATCAGACTGAACAGAATGGGTGATGAAGGTGGGTATAGTGTTCCTCTTTGTCTTAAATTTGTTTTATTTCTTAAACTTTGAAAACAAAATAGGAACTCGGAATGCAAACACTGTTGAATGTTAATGGCCATTTGATAAATTTCTCACTGGATACAGATTCAAAGTAGTAAAATTATCAAAGACAGCAGAATAAAATGTTTCCCTGTACATAAAAATACTCCTTCTTTTTTTGATATTTCCAGTTTTAAGTTCTACTAAATGAATTTAGAAGGTTGGTAATTTTTTTTAAGTCCTTACTTTTAAACTTGTCCAAGACTTCCTGGAAATGTGGCCAGTACAATATTTGTCTGGGATTTGAGACTTGATGGGATAGGATTACACGAAGATGTACATTTTGTCTTCAAGAGGAATATCCTCATGAAATCGTGATCGTGGTGACAAGAATGGTCAAATGATACCAACCGGTTCACTGTTCAATCTAAAACTCAATAGTGTATATAACTTTCTTCATACTTATGAACCAATCTTTCTTTCTGCTTATCAGTTTCAGAAATCCTTTCTTTTGGGCTTTTTTATTTTTTAAACTGTGATAGGTGGCCAAGCACTATGTCGCGCCCTCATCAAGAACAGCACCCTAGAAGAACTGAATGTTGGAAGCAACGACCTAACAGAACCCACAGCAGCCATCATGGCTCAGGTCGTCATTAACAACATCACGCTCAGGAGGGTCAACTTGTCCTGTAACAGACTGGGCCCAGTAAGTGGCTTGAGCAATGTCAACCTGCATCTGTGTAATGTGTGTTTCTGCTGTTACAATCATCAGTGTTTTAGGCAGAAACATGGGCGGCCTGCTGCTTTGTGTAATCAATGATATCCTTGTATAGATCAACCCATGGACCATATATAGAAGCCATTTCTGTAGTGATGCCACGATTCAATGCAGGTTGCACATTGCAAACATGAAATATCTCTTCAACCTAAAGGGTGTTGTGATTTACAAAAATACATTGTACGTGGTTGCCTCAAATAAAAAAACACGCATTTGAAAGTAGTGCCAGCGCAAAATTGACATCTCCTCAGATTAATGTACAGTCAGTGCAGTGTTCCTGCAAAAATTTGTTTGAAAGGCAGGGTCGGGTGGGACTTAAACATTAATAATGTCATAATTTCATATTGCTAGAAATATATCTGCAAAAAGAAAGTGTTTTGTTGAATCGTAAAGGCTGTTTATTCTGCATTGTGATTTTGCCTAATTTCTGAAGAAAACAGGATTTGAAGATCAAATTTTATTCACTGAAGGCAAAAATCCTCAAAAAAACCTGATTACTTTTCTTTTTTTTTTGTTCATTAGGATGGAGGCAAGCAACTCCAGGAGGGCATGGAAGAGAACAAGACCATCTTGGAGCTGGACTTGAGACTGACAGAGGTTGGGCAGGAGTCAGAGTACTGCATCAATCAGATCTTGAAGAAGAACCAGGAACGGGAGCGGGAACTCCAGCTGATGGAGAAGGAAAAGAACTCGCTGGACAGATAGATGGGACAGGTGGATAGAACGTGGGATTAGGTCTGTGCTGGAGTTCAAGTGATTGGTTTGAATTTTATTGTGTAATATTATACAGAAACAAAATACATTGGTATATGGCCATCTCTTGTGTACATGTACGCAAACTCTGCTGTGTTAGAGCATTCCTGTTTTGGCCTACATTGTGTGGAATGTACTTGTGTACTTGTCACCGAACTCTATTTGAGGAGTAGAATATTATCAGGTCTATTTTGAGTAAAACTGGCCCAAAACATCACCCTTGATATAAGTTTAGTCCATAATTTTGGTTTTCTCTGCAGTCTTCAATAAAATTATAATTTAAACAATGTGACTTGAGTACTATCCGCCCCGAACTGAAGTGCACCATCAATCGGCAAAAGAAAGACAAGTGGTTACAAGTGGGTTCATGCACGCAGTCTGCGTGCAAGACCATACATGCTGGAGTAAATTAGTTACGCGTACTCAGCGTGCTCCGCATCAAACGAGCATATACTTGCGCACCTCATGACGTGCCTATGCAGTGAGTACCAAAAAACACGCCCTCTTTTGTTCCACTCAATAGAGTTAAATAGACAAAAATTATACAAAGTAATACAATTTTTTAAGTGGATGGGGGCACCCAAAACATGTGATAGTCAAATGAAGCCAAGGATGTGTGACATAATTAATGAATAATGCCTTTATAAGTAAACAGTTTTTCAAGAATATGTCATTTACAAATATGTAATTAACTAAGATGTTAATACTAAGTGAAATATCGTTGAGAACGCCACAGCACAGCATAAATTGAAAACCAGTTGAAAGATAATTATTCAGAAATTACGCCTGCATATATTTCTTTACTATGGCCACTAATATCATTTGAACGTTTCAATAACTTGTTCTTCCATCTCTGTAAGGGCCATTTCTGTTTTGAGAAGCTGATGGTCTCTAATTTATGCAGGGCTTGAATAAAGGCGTAGCACTCTGTTTTTTTCTTCCAAAATAATAAAAGATAAGAAAATTTTCATTTTATTTTTATTTAGTGATTGATATTTTTACAGATGATACTGATGGGTTAAGGATGGAATGAAATCCTAAGTGAAGAAATTTGGTTTGAACAAAATTGTTTAGAGCAAGGTTGAAGCACACCTTGCAATTTTTCACATTGCTGAATGAAAGGAAAATTCCGACCAAACTTTATCAATGGTCATTCTGGCCGATAGTGCCTCTCTCCAATTAATTTAACTTGATGTAACAAACGTTATTTTCCTTCCAGACTATGGTGAGTCTATTGTGCACTTCCATCAGAAAATTATGGACATGATAGAAGGAAGCATGAATTATAAACAAGTAATAATATTTATCTTACGTGTAAATAAATATAAAATGACCTTAATAATGGTTCAGTTTTCAGTTCAGTATCTGTTCAGGTTGATAATCTCTGGTTCGTCCATAAAAATAATGTATAGTATGTATGCATATTTTCCATTAAATTGTTTGCATTCCTTGTTTTGAGAAATAATAAAAGAACCTGTGACGTTCATAAACAGAAAAGCACATCGTTATCATTTATAGTTGTTTATTATTAGGGCTTTATTTGAAAAAGTAATTTGGTTGAAAACACTTCATATAATCTCTTCATTGTCTTGTAAGCCGGACGTAAATGGTATGTATCACGTTTCCAGTTGGAAACATTTTCAAGTTGATGAACGAGTTTAACGGTTCCTTGTCAGAAGCTGCACCGGTCACGATTTGCAATGGCATGCCTTCATATACTTCACTGCCAGGTTTTGCGGCTCAGTTTACTACATTTCAAGAAACCAGGAGTTTACAAAAAGAAGGTCAATATCGCAGATAGTGACCCAAATGTTACATTGTTATTTATAGAATACTTTTTGGGTGATCACCCTCTGATAAAACATTTTACCTACAAGTCATTTGATTAGTTTGCCGACCAACTGAGCAGAAGCTGAAAGATGCTGAAATTAATTTGACGTGTGTTTCGAAGACCTGGAGATTTTCAAGTATTTTGAAGGCGCAGGTACCCAACAATGTACCCAACAATGTACCCAACAATGTCACCATGGATATTTTACAGGGCTGCAACTTGAAAAAGTGGCCCAGCCTGCGCGCTAATTCAGGCCGTCACCAGAAAAGCCTTTCTGTGCGAGAAGTACGCCCTCTATTGAGCATTCTGAACAGGAGGAAAAACTTTTTTAAATCTGAAGTCCTGACGTCTCAAAGTGTTTACTTTTTACAAAGTCCGCCGAGGGCCAGGTGTACCACCAATCATCTGTGTGCGGACTCGGGCAACTCCTCCTTGGCCTCCTGCCATTTAATGACACAATCCTACGTACATGTACATGTATGTTCTCGACTTTGATCTTGATAGAGTTCCATTTGCATGCCATAAAAGTAAGAAAGAGTATCACTGAGTACGCGATGACTGGATGATAAGCTTACAAACGCAGGTGACTTTGAGGTTAGTAGCTCGAACAGTACAGTCTGTCCATCTAGACCAAGGGCGAGCATAGCGAGTGGAGACCAATAATCACGATGATATCGTTTTCCAAACTTGGTCTGTTGGTTAACATGGGTAACAAACTCTCTTCACTAGCCTACTCCTGTTACAAGACCAGCTGGAAAGATATCACTTTAATACCCCCCCCAAAATTTTGGCCTTTTTCCTGCATCAAGTGGATTAAGAATTGGGTACATGCCGGTGGTGGGGTAGGGGGTTGTCAGGAGACAGGAGGTGTTTCTGCAATTTAAGAACCAATACTAGCCTAGGCTACTGTAGGTCTATTGTAGACTTTATAATATTTTTACTTGGGGAGTATTAAAGTAAAATTTTCCCGACCAGCCATTTTATAAGTATCCTCGATCCTCCTGTTTCTGCGCACCTTAGGCTTTGAAACAAGATTTTCAGTTGAAACATTTTAGACATGATTTTATTTGTACAACTCACAGCCTGTCATTGAAGCAATTCAAGCAAAAAAGTTACTTCTTTTTGTGCCCAGGAGTAGGCAGCTTATAGCAGGTTCGACCACATGTGTTTAAAAATTCCTGCCTAAATCTATGCAGCTGGCGCATTTGAAATCTATGGTGGCCAAGACATGCTGCACAAGATATATTTATTGAAAGGGCAAGTCCTGGTGTTTGGCATTGTAAACAGTACTTATTCTTGTAATTTTTAGAACAATTTCAAGAGTTTCAAACTTCAAATCTTCCAGTAGTCATTTCCAGTTCATTTGAATAACTTTCTTAAATCAGTAATGGGGAAATGAGTTTTAATAAATAACAGTATTTTTACTTTTTATAACTTGAGGTTCCTCGGTCTGTCACTATTTAACATCCTTGCACAATAAATTACAGGTAAAGTCCCTTAATGTGTCCTTTGCTTATTTTGTTGTCACTTTTGATCGTCTTCACTAGCCAACACTAAATATGGCACCCCATACCCTCCAGTGGTCTGTCTCCTCATCTGTACATGTACATCCCACGACTCCATATTAACCATCCACGTCCACCTTGTCCCTAAATCCCCCTCCAAAAATAAATCTGTGATCCTGATGAACAAATAGTTTTAAGGAGAAGGCAAATAGTCTTAATGTACTCGGAGAACACCTTCCTAATTCCATCCCAACATTTACTGCCATGTTCTTTGTTATTCGCACACCCTCAAGCACCATCACACATTGGTGAACACCCCCCATCCCCATCCACACCCCTTCCACACCCTTGGGTTTATGTATGTGCCCTTTCCATGTTGGTGCATATCCCATCCTACCATTGATTACCTTTATACACGAACATGGGTGACCCAGTGTCAACCATTAATCTAGCTCTCTTCTGCGGAAAAAAGAAAAACACTACAATGGATCCACCACTAATTTTTATTCAATTTCACTCACTTGACAAAATTAACAAAAAAATTACATTTTGAAACTTCAATTAAGCGAAGGGTCCTACATGTACATGTATTTCCACCCCGAAGTGCTTCACTGAATCAACAAATTTTTAATGACATCATGTGACACGTTAAAAGTACATACTAGAGAATAGAGGGCGAACGTTTAGATGACATGAAGACTCCTGAATTTTTTAGGGGACTCACGACACAAACTCTAGTATTTGTATCTAGGCCAAAAAAAGGGTTGTTTATTCCTTTTGCACGAAAACTTAGATTACAGGATTAATTTCAAGCATTTTGGGGTCTTTTACAAAACTTTTGAACATGGACAAGCAATACAAGTGGCCACTGGTTGTTCAATAGCAGGCACGTCTGCATAACGATCACTAAAAGGTGAGTGTGCAGAAAAAAGGACTGTATATTTAGGGAGTCTGATGATATATAAATGTAACTGGGTGAACAATCAACATTGACAAAGTAGGCCTAAGCTAAGGAATGCTTTTTTAAAATCAATGTTAATGCTACTTTGTTTTGGCCAATGAAAATCTATTCCTTGTTTATCAAGGAATCTGAAAAGTTTTAAAAATACTAACTTGAAATATCAAAAGTCCTCCTGGCCCAAAAATATAATTTTGAGTGATGATAAACAAGGAATTAATTTTAATCGGCATAACTAAGTTTATAAGCATGGAAAGAAACGTGAGAGATACCGGTAAGACAATTCTATTGGAAAGTACCCTCCTTACAAAACTGGAATTCTGTTTCTGCATCTATGTTTCTGTACAAATGCCTAGCATGGCTCATGAGGACCATGTAAACATAGGCTACCGGTATACAGAACTGGAAGTCACTTGCAAAGTGACTTGCAGTTCTGTAAGTAGGCTACTGGTATGTGCAATGACTGACTGACATTGTGATGATATTATGACGAATTTGGCATCAGAATGCAATTTTTTATGTAGTGGGTATATTTAGTGAAGCCATAATGCAAGTTCCAAATTCTGTATTTTTGTACCTGTATGTACAATAACCCACAACATGCCATTTCAGTTCATTCAATCCGTGCACTGCATAACAAACACAATTTTTGTTGTTCTCTCATTTCTTTATTTTTTCAAACATGAAATCTTTGTTTATTTTCCATATTTTTTCTCTGAGGGGGGGATAGGTTTATATCCCTGTAGGAATTTTTCTTTTTTACCACTTGAGCCTGCATTCTGTCACTTGCATGTACATGTATGCTTGTAGTGAGATGATACATGTACATGCACAAAATACTCGGGAAGTTTATTGTAAGTAAACGTTTAGGCAAGTGTACTCATATTTTACAGGTTTTAAGTCATTTGAGTCTTTACATTCATTAACTGAAATCATTATTATATTTTGAGCAGGACAGAATATGAAAATGCCAACCACTAATTCGTGCTCATAATCAGGGCACTTTTCTCACAAATATGATGACACTTGTTTAGCAGAATTGACATACTGAGAGGGCAAAAATGATCAATTTCTTCATCTCTGGGTCATTCCACCAGGTTGGGGCAAAATATGTGACGGTGCCCTTGTTACATTGGTAACTTTTACCACCTGTCATGACCTGTAGAGTAGGTCATTTACTCTGTAAAAGTAACACACACCTCTGTGTTCAGTCTTGCAAGATGTATAACAATGTCAATTTGGAATCCACATGCAGGGAAAGAGCTGTTCATTTTTACAGAACCCATGTAACAATTGACTCCCTCACAAATTGTGCCCCAACCTCATGGAATGACCCCTCTGGATCGAAACTGAAACTAATAATTTCATATTTTCATAGCGGATCTCAAGAAGATAACAAAGGGAAAAAAAATGGACAACCACGTGCATTCCTACAAGCCATCCCTCAAGATAAAGGCGAAGGATGCAGAGCTCATGAGAGAACGGACAGAATCCATAGTGCGCCCTCGCTCAGTCAGTTTCATAAAGACTGAAGAGGGTGAAATGGTAACAATTGACCTCTTCAATCAACCCACTGCAGAAGAGAGGACAGAAGAAACACTTGTGAATGAAAGTGTGAGTGCTTTTTGTTGGTTTTTAATGAGGGAGAGCTTGCATGTACATGTAAATCTATATCATAATCTGGGAAGGGGTTATAATAAATATGCTCAGAAATTCCAACCCCTTTCAGAAAAGATTTCTTTGGTTTTGTGTTTCCACAACTGCTTGTGTGGGTTATTTTATCTAGACACTGAAGTTGAGCTTGTCCATTTATTAGCTTATTCCCTGTTTAAAGCTTATTCCCTGTTTAAAACTATGAAAGAAGTTTGACAGGTTATCTGCATTGGATTTGAAGTGAATGAAGCCTGCTCTCCAATATCAATCCGCCCCCCGCCATCCATTAGGATGGTAAATTCAAACATTGGTGAAGTTTTCCATTCTTTAAATAAAATTAACAGGTCACCAGACAAAATTTGCATTTTTTATTGGATTCTCTGTTGAGTCTTAATCGTTGTTAAATGGCAGTGATATTTCCACTGAGTGTGCATGTGGATCTTGATAAAATGAAGGAGGTGTTCATGTAGTTGAATGAGGCATTAGTGTAGGACCAGGTTTAACACCAGGTTAAATAAGTTTAGCACTCTATGAATAGCAGATAAGATTTATGAAGTGGCAGGGTGATTCAGAAGCTGGTACATGTGTGCACTGTACTCATCAAACGTTCAAAGGTCACACATTGATGTTTAAGGTAACTGACAAGTCCCCTTTGGAATACAGTGTTTGGATTTGTACCCACATTGTTGTAATGACCTGTACAATTTACTTTGGAGTAGTTTCAAAGAGTGATTTTTAGCAATTACATTCTGTACTTGATCACAAAAGTACAGTGTGTTCACTCTTTGCACGCTGCTGCCATTGGCAGGCAGAGCCTCGATCTGGCAGCTTTACACAATAAATATAGCTTGTTTAGTGATTTGCATGTACATGTATGTTGCTTAATAATTTTGTGCATGCCGCGTTAGTTCTTATACCATGCGATTGGACAGTATTTCAAAAAGCTGCATTGACGCGATTCTGATGTGATTGTACAAGTTGCCAGTTCGGGGCTCTGCATGCCTATGGCAGTAACGTGCAAAGCGAATTGTGTGTAAGGTTCCATACTTGTACGTACATGGCATCATATTTCCAGTCATTTGTGTCTCTAAATTGTGATTTTTTACCACCTTTGCCTGTGGTTCAGATCAATTGCCAAGAAATTATGAAATTGCCTAAAGAAGAACGTGTGAGTGACAGCAAAGACATTGCATTTAATAGCTAACTTTTGTCTACTCTTCAAGATTTGCCAGCTGGAACCCTGCCATATTATCATGTTAGGAATGTCACAAGAGAAGAGCAGTTCAAGTCTGATTTTTTTTAATTATTATTTAACAGGAAACTTAATCACAGCTTTTTTAAATTTTTAAAAAATTTTTAAGTGCTATTTATTTGCATTATCATCAGGACTTATATCTTGCCGCAACGTACATCATTGATGCCAAGCATTCCCGTAACTACAAGTTCATGACAGATCCAAAAAGTTTAAAGTAAGGTTTGTTAATCCTACAGAGTTTCATTTAAAAGCTTCATCAATGCAATTCATGAAATCTTGTTGAATTTCTTGCTGAATTTGACGTGGGATGTCTGCAAAGAGAACACAAGCAACAGAAGTCTGCTTGAAAGATAAAAAAGTAATAAAAAGGTATAGAATAAAATTTACAAAATGGCCATTTCCATAGGGATGTAGATCACTGGAGAAACGAAATTTAAGCTATTCCCTGATGAAGCTGAGAACAGCTTGAAGGCTTTATTACTCAACATTAAGGACATCTTGGTGGACACTAGGCAAAAGTTTTATAGTAACTATACTAGTGCAATCTCATCTTGATAAGACAACAGACAACAGACAGGAAAAGAAGGAAAGGCAACAAATAGTTGAACTGAGAACACTTGTCAAGTTTAAAAACATGAGAGGAGTAGGGCTGTGCCGATGAGCCGAATATTCGATCCATTATCAGATATTTGCATATTACTTTCCAAATTTGAATATTCGAAAGCAAAATTCATGGAAAGGAAGGAAAAATTTTCTTTTGTTTTAAATGAAAAAATTTTACCATGGAGGCTTGTTTCAAGCAGATTCAAATGAAAAGCAACAGACATCTTACAATTCAAAAATAAATTATTTTATTAAACAATTTAAAAGGAACAGAAAGTTTCAACAGGGCCAGAAGTACATGTATTGTTCATCTCTTAAATCTTGCTAAATCGTGGCTGGAGATACTCCTACATGCGAGAAGCTATTATAGTGATTATAATGCACAATTGTGTGCGTTATTCCAACTGATTTTGTATATGGTTTGTTCATCAACAATCTGCCAGTCAGTATGACCGAATATTCGGATATTTGATCAACTTGAAGGTCAATTATTCGAATAGCGAATTATTACAATTGACTCCACACTAGAGAGGAGAATGGCTTTTAGATGTGGGACCAAGGACTTATTCGACATTAAAAGATATCAAGAGTGCAGTTACAATGTGTCGTACATACAGCTTCTGTGCCTTCTTATTTGACTACTCACAAGTTTCCATTTTGGTGTTTTACATTTAAGGAACTATCACCTGTACAACAACACTTTCATGCAGCTCGTTCTCTACCTGTTTATTTTCTTGGACCTCGCGCTGGCTTTGTTTGAGGAGCCAGCGGTGGAGACTTTAGGCATGCCATACTGGGTGAGCGTTTGTCTTCCATTTTACTCATTCTTGGTTTAGTACAATCAAGAGAGGCATTGAAAACTGTTGCACTTGTCCGTCTCACCAGAGCATTCCACAGTACGCATATTTTGTGCTATGTTCTTTGTGGCTGTTTGGCATTCTTTGAGTTTTTCAAGATGATTGTTACTAGATCAAAATACATTCATGTACATGTCCTGCCATTGTTATCCCACTAGACTTTGCAGTGTGTACAGTGCTTGTTTGCAGATGTCGAGTTTCTCGTTGAGCCTTGCACCTCACTTGAGACGTGAGCCATGAACTTGCCACACTTATTTATTAATAACAGAGTTCAAAATGGTTCAACAGAAAGGCTTTTTAGTGTGGTGTAAGTTCAGCAGGATGGAGGTTAACAGCTGGACTGTCATCGTCTTATTCCAACATCTGGATTAGTCAGGTTTTCCTGAAACGATCAAAAGACTGAATAGACCCTCTTCACAGTGCCGTATTTTGGCAACTGTGCCCAGAAACATGTTTCACTTTTGATGCTGGTTGGATGTTCTTGTGACATTGGTTGTGCTTGTGTGATGTCCATGTTCCTTATCACAGAAGGTTAGGGTTGGTTCAGTGCAGGTTCTCAAAATGGCAGAAAATAAGCAGATAATCTAGGCACTTTCTATTAGAATATGAAAAGCGAGTACTGAAGTGATAAGAAACTTGCTATATATTAAATGAAAATGGCAAGTTATCTGTTACTTCATAATTTATTAGTCTCAGATGACTGTTTCTGGTTAAACATGTTCTTGGTTATTGCTTTGATGTCACAAACAAGTTCATTGTACTATGTTTTTGGTTAGAGGTTGCAGAATCATGCCCCTGTTTTCCTGACCTGTAATTATATTTTTGCCCTTGATATACTCTGTATGCAGAGTACCCAGCTGCTTGAGTTGGCCTGTATTGCTTACTTCATCTTTCGCATGGTGCACCATCGATCTTTCACTCCACGTAAAATATGGTGGACAGATGCCAAGAATATCATCCTGGTCATTGCCATTACGGTAAGTTGAAGGCAGGCATGTACCGGCTGAAATCATTCAAGGGTCAGGTTTTCAAAATTGATAGCAATTGTCCCGTTGGCCGTATTCACAACAAAGCCATTTTTGTTCATGTTCTCTGAATTTGTTTTATTGAATGGAATCTGTCAAGTGGGATGGTTCTAGACTAGTTTGGGTTTGGTGCTTCACGTTCATTTTTCTTTATATGTTGCTTAAATCATTGAATATATTTATTTTGGTTCCCAAATAGAAAACTTAAACTTCGCATCTTATTCAATATGGCCAACTTATTATAGAGGTAGATTTATGTATAAAGAGCACAGTGTTATCTGCTTTGTGTCACGCCTCTGGAGTTCTGTCCACTCCATGGGAGAACAAGAGATGGCAAATTTTTACGTAGCTGTGACAACCCCTCAGTTGGGATGTGCATGTATTGTGGGTGCACAAGTTCTTGCCTGCTAGCACAGGCGGGGCTGTGCACACATGACCAATTTTTGTTAAAAAGTACAGTCTTTGCCTGTCTGTCTGGCACTCAGTTAAAAAAAAGTCCCCCACCAGCATCTCTCTGCTTTGTGAGAGGTTGCTTGTACACAGAGCAGATAGCGACAAAGGATCGCTTTTACAGATTTTTTAGGGCAGGTCGCTTCTAACTGTGGAATTGCTTATTTTGCTCAAAGTTAACATTCTTGTTTTTTAGATTATGTGCGTGGATATGATAATCGCCACCATCCTGGTGGAGGCAAGGGTAACGGAGAAGGTTTTCCGCTGGTCCAGATTGTTACGACCTCTCTTCGTTGTCAACTTTCCTGAAATGAGAGAGGTGAGTTTGTCCTATTTTTGGGGGGAAGGGGGGAATAATTATCTTGCAGTTAATCAGTGACTGGTGTTTTTCTTGTTGGGCAGTTTAGCAACTACAGGCAATTGCAATGTTTGCTCAAGGAGAAGCAGAAGTATGTCACATTCTTCAAAAATCTTACCAGTAGCTACAAACATTTCAGATGAGATGGGAATGTCCTGAGATTTGAAGATGTGTTATGGTGTATGTAGTTAAAGAACCTGTGAATGTTTGTGGGTTGTCCGTTTACACTGTGTGGCATCATCCTCTTTGGAAGTGACACATTTTATATTCAAGAACCATATTCACCTACATGTACTTCACATGGGATTGGTTTGTCCATAATTCACAGTAGATGGAATTGCTCACTTTTTTTTCCACTTAGAGAGCACAGGACTAGCTTAAACCATTCCAGCATAGGTTAGAGTGCTCAGTGAGATCCATGTGCTTTGTCACAGTTACTAACTGAAGATAAATTTTGATTCCAGTTTATAAGACTATTTCTGAGTAGCAATTAATTCTCTAAGTCATGTTTACATGCCACATCAAAGGCACAATTTTCTGTCAACACAGTTGCTTTGTTCTCATCTTTGAATATAAAGTGGACTCCTTGATTTTGACAGCGATTTCTGTAAAAGTGACAAAAATCATCTCACTGACTTGCACATGTATAGATATTTAAATCACAAAGAAACTAGAACCCTTTCTTCCACTTTTGGTCTCCAAAAACTCATACATTTTTATGTGTTACTTGTTTGTCTGGCAGATCAGGCGCTCATTCCGTAACATCCGTCGTTCATTGCCAGAGATCTTGGCTGTGCTTGTCCTCTTGTTTCTATTTCTTTTCTTGTTTGCTCTGCTGGGCCGTGAACTCTTTGCTGACGAGTAAGTGATCACCTCTAAAGCAAGTTGGGGGATAGCAAACAGTTACGTGACTGAGGAGGCTTAGGAGAGTTTGTTTTCAAATGCTCCTTTTTGCAAGGAATTTAAGGAGAACTCTTTGGTCATGTTGGTCACTCTGCTGGACCATTTGGAATGGGCTTATTACTTTCACAGTTATAGAGGTTTTGACATAATTAATTGTGAGCCAACCTAATGTAATGAGTCCCAAATTACCACAACCGTGGCACATTTGAGTTTTAAACCTTTAAAAGAATCCTGCACTATGGAATAAGAAGGTACCCATAATATTGATTCATCAAAACAAAAGACTTGGTTTGCTATTTCTGATGCAAACTAAAATGGAATCAAAAATCAAATTGGCATTAAGTTTCATTTCGTTGGATCCAGTCATATTCAACAATTCATTCATGTGAGATTCTAGCCAGCCACAGGTAATTCACTCCCAACACTGAGGGTTTGTTAAATACAGATCTCAGTTTTGAAGCAAATGTGAACACACTTTGTTACAGAGATCCAGGAGAATGCTGCTTGCAAAGAATCAGTTAACATTTACTTTTGTTGCCCTCAGTTTAATATATGTTATTATTATAACATATATATGTATATGTTGCCCTTGTTGATCGTATAATCAAATCATTGTAAAAACGTAGTGCCAGGAAGTACATGTAGGCAAGAAGCATGTTTTTGTAACCAAGGATCTTTCCACCTGTCTTGAAAAAATTACATGAACGTGTATATGTATGATATGCAGTGTGGAAATAATGTGTTTTGGGAGCTAAGAACTGAAGGAAACCACACCTTACACCCTTCAAAGAGATTACATTTGGACACTGCCATGGTTTTAAAAAAGTGAGGTCAACTTATGGTATTGACCAATTCGTCATGTCAATGCTACAAGGTCCTTATTGATAAATTGCGCTAAAAGGACCGTATAGAAAACATTGTTTAAACATGAATTTGGGCAATAAAACTGTTTGAAATTTATATACACTGGCTCCAAAAACTAGGTTTAATAAATAAAAGTTTGAAAAAAGTTGTCTGTTCAATAAAACATTTCTTTCATGCTCAGAGTAAGGCCCTAAGAGTATTTTCAATCATTACAGTTTTGCTACGATGACATTTTATTTCTGAGCCATTGAATTGACAGCCTTGATTTTTATGTGAGATATTGTTTTATTGTTGGTTCTGATTGGCTGGCTAGCACAGAAATACAAACACAGAAACAAAAGCCATTCTGGATGCACGTCCTCCAGCAAATGGATAACATTCAGAAAACTAATCCTCTGCATCTTTTCTGTTATATGTTTCTTCCTTTCTTTGGGGTTTTTCTGCTTTTTTGTAGTCAACTGGAGAAAGTCTTATCATCAGAGAAGTACTTTGTAAATTATTTTGAAAATATCTGGGAGCTCTACATTCTTGTCACCACTGCCAACAGCCCTGATGTCATGTGAGTTAACAATCCAAGTCACAGATTGCTCTTTGGTTGTGGCCTTCAAGATTTAGGTTCAAATTAATCTTATTATTTATTCATTGGTTTATTTATTTGATAAAAACTGAAATATAAGCAATATTGAATACAAATTTATACAGTAATCATACAACCTAAAATAGATAGTTATGTTTAAAAATGAAACCAGTTAAAGAGAATAACAACAGGTGCAGAGCAGCTGGGAGGCAAGTCAAAATGTATAGGAGAACAAAAGAATCCCTAATGAAGAATTCTCGCCAGTAGGTGCACTAATCTTGGAGTAAAGACTTTGAAATCTGCCATGCAGAAAGTGCAAAGCAACATGTAGCTGATCTATGGGTGCACATTGAGGTGATCAGCTGTGATATCTACAGTTGGGTTCACAATATGCAATGAGTTGAATTTACTGGTTGGTTTAAAGTAAGTAACCACTGTAATGCATGCATTTATTCATGACGCACATTTATTTTTGCCTTTAAATGTGAAATCACTTTGTAATTTGTCAGTGTATAATGTGGCAAGTGGTTATGAGAAACATCCAGAAATATCACAATTTGTAATTAATCTTTGGTGAAATGCTGAATATGTATGTACCTCCACATTTAAACCTCTCCCTTTTTGTTTCTCTCAGGATGCCTGCTTATGATGCCAGTGGCTTCTACATGATCTTCTTTGTTGTGTTTGTCTTGCTGTGTAACTACATCTTCATGAGCATCTTTCTTGCAGTCATCTACAAGAACTATCGCAAGCATTTAAAGGTATCAGACTTGCCATTTGAAGAGCAGTTTAATCGGGGGGGGGGATGCCTGGTGTTTAGGGTTTATGATGTGAGAGTGAACGAGTTAGTGAGTTCAGGTCTGGTGATCAGATGGTAAACCATTCAAATCCAGCTGCTGGCCAGCTGTTTTGCTTGATAGGCAATCCACTTCACCCCTCTCCTCTGTCCTAGGAGTAGTAATGGGTACCTCCATGTACAGGGAAGCAAGCCTTGACAACCTTTTGTGCCTACCTATGAAACATTCTCAATTTGCCCCCCCCCCCACCAATGAAACTGTATCATTTTCCAAGTTGTAGCCACCCTCATGTATTCTTGTGTAAAACATGTCAAATAACGTTGGCATTAAGTAACAAAGAACAAGTACATTGAGAATTCTTTGAGAAGTTTCATTCTAGAATTGCTCCCACCATCCCATATTCAGAATGAGGTGCAGACCTCTGTCTTCTTGAAGCGACGGAAGCTGGCCAAGGCTTGGGACATCCTCCGCGTTACCCATGATGGCAAGTTTGTGCTGACATGGGAACGATGGCAGGCTGTCATGAGTTACGTCATTCCCAAATACAGCCCGATGAAGGTCAAACTGCTGTGGAAAGTACTGGATGAAGACGATGATGGCTACGTTGGTGAGTTGTGCCCTACAGATACTAGAGGGCGGGTTCATGAACAACAAACAGGCATGAACAACAAACATTTGCCATTCCACAGAAGTTTAACATAGTTCAACTTGAGTAAAATAAGTAATAGTTTTATGTCAAAGTTGCAGTTTGTTTAGGTTTGCAGTCATGATTTGGATAATTCCAGAAATTAGGGGTCCATTTTGTTCGTGTCCCTATTACATCTGACAAGTGATTTCTCAAGTTCAGAGCACGTTTTCTAATTTTCCAAGAGTGATGAATTAATGCAAATTACAAGTACCTGCCAAACAAAACAATTCCAGTGATATTTCTATGTCAAATGACAAAGGTCAGATGTAACAGGGACACGTAAATGTCACACTTTTGGACCCCTAATTCCTGGAATTATTTGCATTTGTACTTGGTCCGTTTGTAAATGGTTGACATGATATTTTAGTCTCATCCGCTTGTGTTCACAGAAAAGCGAGAGTTTCTACGTATTGTTGACTTGCTTAATGTCAAACTGTCCACGGTCAATGCGAGTACACCGTTCTTTCAGAAGTACGTGCCTTCGTGTTACAGTTCAAAAGTCAGTGAATTCATCTGCAAATGCGTCAAACATAAGTAAGTGTGCCCGTAAAGCCCATTTTTAAAGGGAAAACAGTCGTTCTGCAACAGAATTTTTTAGCATGGGGAAATTTGGTCCACCAAAATATTGCCTACTTTTTAACATTTTGAAAACAGTTCCTCATCAGCATGTGGACTGAATTATAAATAAAGTGTAGAAATTTGAGTTTAACCATTTCCTGTTGGGAGGAATATCGCTGGAGCGCTTTTGCCCTGCTGATAATCCACTGGCACTGAATGCCTCAAACAGTGGTATATTGTTTCAAAACAATGATGGATTACCTCCGCTAATGCCAACTGAAAATGATGGCAAATTCCAGCAGCTTGGTCTTTTGTTCCGAGTACGGTCTTTTGTTGCAAGGCCCAGCTCTTTTGTCTCATTTCGGTTACCCCGGCTATGCATACAAATCCCAGGTGCCCGGTTCTGGAAACCCCGGAGGCAAGTGGTTAAACAAATGAAATATGGACTTAATAAGGAAACGTGTCTGCCAAAACATGGCACTTCACAGGCAACCTTATTTCTCTTCCTATTTCATATGCTCATCAAATGTTCTGCCACTCCTATTTTCCTGTACCAGATCTTTCCGGTATTTTTTTGATGTGGTCATAGTGGCAAATGCCATGCTAATCATCGCCGAGCTAGACCAAGCTGAATGGTTCTTCCTGGCACTCTTCATCGTCGAGATCCTTCTCAAGATGTATGTCTTCGGCTTTTACAAGTACTTCCACAATTTCTGGAACATGTGAGTACAGCCTGCCCCATCGGAAAAGAGGTCAAAATTGGGAAACACTAAGGAAATTCAGTGGAAAGTCATAAGATTGCTCCCAGGCAAGATCATTCAATTCTTCAGAAAAAGTCTAAATTATCCTTGAAACATTGTTGCAAACCAAGACACATTAAAGGAGTTCTTCACCATGTGTAGTTCTTGATGTCTTTGTCCACATAAAAGCCATGACAATGTTTTGACTTGTGTTTAACATGGCCCAAGGGAAACTTAACTACCACATGAAGCTATTCAATTAATCATAACTTCAGCATTGAATTGAACATTAACCCGTTAAGAACTGTCATGTTGGTTTTGTTTTCCTCCAGGATATAAAATCAACCTTCTTCCTATCAGTTCTGAGTCTGTTCTACATGTTCTAGTTAAGCTAGTTAAGCAGCAGAAGTTGTTGGAACAATGTTGAATAGTTTCCTCCACCGCTTTACAGTAGAAGTGTTCATGTTTGGTAAAGCACAGTATAAAAGCAAGAATACTTGTCTGCAGGAAATGCATTAACTCATAAGGTCCAAGCATGGATGTTGAGCACATCGCAGCAACAACATTCATGTTTTGACCAAGCCTCCTGTTTCATCACCGACAAAGGATTTCTCTTGCTTGCAGTAGTAAAGAATGAAACGAACCGGTTTTCCCACAGATTGATTCCACAGGCATTTTTATAATGGTTTTTATCTTGTGGGGGTCACATTTCTTGTCTGTACTGCTCATTCACAGAGTTGTTGGCATTTGTGATGAACTCAGTGGATGTTGTGCACAAGTAGGATCCCAACAGGTGAAAAAAATCTACCATAGACAGCCTTGGATACATGTATGTCTAGCTCAAATGAAACAATTAACAGTGCATGAGTGTCCTCACAGATTACTGTTGCTTGGTGACGGAGTAGCCTGTCATCACTCATGCACAGACTTCACTGTACTGCCCTCGTTGTTAAATATCTCTTATTTTGTTATTCCTTGTACACAGATTCGATTTTGTAATTGTTTCAACAGCGCTGATCATAACCGTCATTGAAGAAATTTCAAAAGTAACGCCCAGTAAGTGGAACATCATACTTTCTGCGGTATTGACCTTATGCCAAACAAGCTCTTGTTCTGATACCTGTGTCTTGTTTTGTGATCGCTGTTTTTTAAACCATGTTCTAGATAAGTTTAAATGCCACTGCTTGAAAGCCCAGCCAGAATGCAGCTAAGTTTCCTTAGTTTTTATTGCCTTTTTTCATTCAATTTGTACCGTTGTATTGCAGTCGATTACTCAGGAAAAGCCCTGGACTTCATCCTCTCCCTACGAGTAATGCGAATGCTCAGAGTTATACAAAGTATTGAAAGGTAAACAGTCATCACTCACAGGAGACAATTAAGAGCATTGTGTCAGTAAATGATGCTGGGACAGTCCCCAAAGGAAAATACAGGATATATGGACAGCCTAAAGAAACATGTCCCCTTGAGGAAGGGACTACCAATATGAGTCTTTTTTGACAAACGCACGTTCAGGTAAACGTTTGAAGTATTATATTTGTCAAACTTTACCAACAGATGTGATGGGAATCTCTGAATTTGGTTTTGTTGAATTGTTGGTTTTTGTCCAATATTTTAATTGATAGTTTCAGTGTATGTAATACTTAAATATCATTGTTGCTTGAAAAAGTCTAGAGCAAAAATAAAAGTCATTGTGCTTTTCTTTGCTTGTATTGTAGTACTTTTTTAGAACTTGTTCTCTCCGCTGAAATTTTTCTTAATCAGCAAAAAAAAAGCACGGAATGAAATGTGTAATGATACCATAGAATATCCTTGAAAAGCCCATGGTACACCAAGTAGTGAAGGCTTGTTTCATGCATTTCCATTCATTTAGTGAAAACATTACAAAGTCATATCTCACACCAGGCTCTTTTTGAGTGGAATATTCTGTTCCATTAAAATGCATTTCCATGTTAAACAGTAGTACCATAGTTGATAACAGACACTCTGACCAGTCACTATTTTTGTTTTGTTTTGGGTTGGTTGGTTGGTTGGTTGGTTGGTTGGTTGGTTGGTTGGTTGGTTGGTTGGTTGGTTTGCTTATTTGGTTTTTTTTTATATTTGGAGTCATTGCACTTAAATTTCTGGCAAAGGCCATATATTTTGCTAAGCAAGTGTAAATTTGCTTCTGAACTTTGCTGTTTTCATTTCTACTCTCTGCAGGTACCAGGTTATCATATCTACCATCACAAACATTGGCCCATCAATTTTGACATTTGGTGGAGTGTTGTTCGTGAGTATAATAGATCTCACTCTTTTTCTAGAATTTTTTTTTCATTTAAAAGAGTCATTAACCATACATTTCATTCACATTTATGTTGTTACAAAGATGTAAATAGAAAGCAAGACCGCTTGCTCAGAGGACACCAGGCTAAAATGCCAAGAGCAGAAACCAAAATGTTTTATTCATTGAACTGTCTGCCTAGTGGTCTTCTTTCATTTTAGAATAAGAATTCTGTGGGTGACACAAAACCTGTAGATTTAGTTCCAACTCTGAAGAACCACTTAATGGATAAATTACATGTACACACTTTGGACTGGTTTGTTCTGTGCCCAGTTGGAAACAATTGATGTTCATACCACTGTAATGTTTAAGAAATATAAATGCAATAACGCCATCTTTTCACCTCGATTAATAAATGATCCATCTATAATATTGTAGCTTATTTATTACAAACCTTTGAATGCCATATTCCCTTAAAAAATGTAATGAGTAATTTGCATTTCCACTGCATGTATTGGAAAGTAAGCTTTTGTAAAGACACTTATTAATAAATGGCTTCAAAGAACTCATTCTGTTTAACCACCAGTTCTGCTGGTACACCTGCACATAGTCCACTAACAAGTGTATGTTTGTGGAGAATTTTTTTCCGAAATGGTTACTCTTCTTGAGAATTTCCTTATAAATTTCCAAATTTCTCCAAACATTACCTTTAGAAGAAAAAATTACCAAGGGATATCCATGATGAAGAGATGAGTGTGCCTTCAGTATTTACAGTTGGCTACATTCGAATCAAGTACCTTTTGCTCTGGCTTCTATATTTGCCGTTGTCATGCTAGAGAGAAATGCCGCAGTCATATGCAGCAATATCGTGTGGACAGGACATTGATGTCTGTTAATGTGGAATAACATTTCATTTATTTTTTGTAGTTGTGTCCGCAGGATCGACATGATCATGACCATTCTTCCATTTGGAGTAGGATAATCACACATGCAGTGGACAAAAAAAGCTAGCATCCCATCCTGCACTCACCATCTCCAAGGTTCACTGCAGACCTCTAAGTAGGCCCTCTGCCATCATGTAAACGTTTGCACAGGCTTCATTGAGTTTTCGGAACGCATACAGGAAGAATTTTTGGAGGATATTTTGCATTTCTCTGTGTGCATTTATGCCTGTAGTGTAGACACAGCACTGTTTTGGTAGCAATTAGTCCTTTGAGTGTAGCAGAGGATATGATGCTCATAAATAAAGCCCATTGGAATGTCAGCCTCACCCAGCTCACTGTATTAAAGAAAGCGCTGCCTTGTACTCAAAATACTTTTCAAGAATCAAGGTTCTTGGCCATTTATTGACCTCGTTTTTTTTTTCAAGTACTCAAATCAGAGTTGTCATGTAGTGTAATGTGCTCACCTGGGACAACCAGATTTTTTTACAGCCAACCGCATTCATCATGATCGAGCCACCATTTCACTTCACACCAACATGGTAGTCACGTGAACACACGTCGTCAGTCGCATGCCAAGTTATAAACTGCTGATGCATGATGTGCGATGTGTGGTGGAGGACTACTCTTTCATGATTGAACATTTTATATTATTTTAACACTGCTGACCTGACCTGACCTTTGACATGTCAAAATACGTTTTGATTTGATATTGCCCAGTAACAGCTAGATTTGAACTTTGATATACACTGTAGTACCTGGATGCAAAGAATCAGATGTGATTCATTTTTGAAGTGAGAATTGCAGTTAGTGAATGATGATGGACCTTGAAAGACTGTCAGATGTGGAGAAACCAACTCCATCGAGTTCCCAAGAAGGGTTACATTCTCTCTCTACAGGTTCAAAAACTAAATTGTGATTGCACCTATCACATGCAGAGGGAAGATTTGTGCCTGTTAGTTTTCATATCGTGCAAGTTTTTGATGAAGCAACTTGTACATGAATATATAATCATTGAACACCACCCTCTGGTGTGGTTCTGTTGAAACAAGCACTCTGCGTTTCTAATTACATAATGGCACAGGGCCTGTTCATGGTGCTCTTTTAACACACTGCATACAGATTTATTTTAACCATCCGGGACTTGTGAACTGTCTCTGTACCCGGGTCTGGATGCCGTTAAGTTGAGATAACAAAAAAGCACTGGGTCAAAATGACAATGCTATGTTGGCATTTGATGCCGGGCAAGGACACGTCAGGAACATAATGTAAATCTTGATGAGCACAGATTTTTTACACTTTCCTTGCTTTTTACATATCCTGCACTCGCTGATAATATGCATGGGCACAGCGTGTGTATGTTTAATCATCTTTGACAGTGGGACAAAACGTTCAGTGATTTCTTTGGCTAAGAGTGAGACTCCTCTTTTTGTCAGGCAAATCTGTTGAAGTGGGAGTTATAAATTTGGGGATGTTCAAGTGAAGATTAGCATGTGATGATTTAGCATGTAATAATAAAAATATAAGATGTAATTTAGTATTGCTTATTGCTTTGCATGCCATATACACCTACATATATTAATCATTGAAGTGTAATTCATTTTAATCTACCATTAAACTTCAGATTTATGTAAAATGACAGCTTACTTATGTTACTGAAAAATTCATGCATGTACGCATGTCAATGTTTGATCAACTGATCATACTCATTTGACAATGAAAGTCATACTGGTAAATGGTAAATATTACGCCACCTCATAAATATTCATGAGCAAATTGGAGCACGCCATTGGCCAATTTCATTGTGCATCCAATAAGTAAAACTGATACCTAAATGACATCATCCTGATGAGTATCCAGCTTGCTCTGGGCAGTAGTTTTTTGTGGAAGTACCAAAACCTACACCTTGGGACCAGTAATTCCCACTACTTCCCCTCAAACCATGCTGTATTTGTATTATACATTGTACTTCTACCAAAGCCAACTGCCCTAATCAGAAATCTACATATCTTTCCTTGAAGGTTATATTCTATGTGTTTGCCATCGTTGGGATGGGTGCATTTCATGACTTGATTCAATACCATGGCTACCCAAACGAGGGCAGCAATATTGATGCAAATCGCCTGTACTGTGGAACCAACCTGACAAACTTCACAAAATCAGAGTTCTACAACCACCACTACTGTAACAACAACTTCAACAACATCATCAAGGCATTTATTGTCCTGTTTGAGTTGATGATTGTCAACCAGTGGCATGATATCCTTTTGTAGCAGGGGCCATGTTTGAATTCCTGACTACTAGCGTTGGAGTAACAGCTTTTTTTCAGAGTTTTAGAAGCATAGTAAAATATGAGATGGTACAGTTGAAATTAAGACTGAGAAAGTGTATGTGGTGCATGGGCTTTCAGTTATGGGAAGAAAGGCGAAAAACATTGCAATCGGAAACTTACCACTTTCACATTTGCAATTTACAAGGTGTGGAAATATTTCCCATTGAGTGAAAAGAATGGAAAATGTTTTCCACTCATGTGAAAAGGCACTGACTTTTCTCCACTCAAGTGAAAAGGTGTGGAATTGTTTTCCCACAGTGGAAAATTGTTTTCACATTTGTGAAATGAAAATTAATTCCCTGGCAAGAGAAAAAGCATTAAAAGAACCTTGCATTCCAAGCTTAGCTTCCATTTTTATTGCACTATTTGCCGAAAATGACCAAGTGCTTAGTTCAGGATCTGGAAAAAAACTTGAACTCAAGCTGAAAAACTGAATTCAAGAGAAGTCAGGGCCTAACATCCTTTGCAAATAACTGAATATTTCTTGCACATTTATGCTAAGGTGTCATATTTCTACTCCTTAAAAGTACTCACCACCTTAGTTCCTAAGTTGAATTCCTTCTGTATAATGTTGACTTCTGGAGAACCACTAAAATGACTCAACTATTACAAATTGGTAACTATGGTAACAGAATACAGTTGATTGGACATGAACACCATCGTGTGTCAAACTTTTTATGTGATCATTGAAACTACAAGGTCTAAACAAACACTTCTGTGATTTTGATTAGGGTATTTGCAAGATGTGATCCTAATTGATTTGGTGTCTTGTTGCCTGCCTCGATCCTTAACTGGTCACACTGATAGCCAGTGGTTTTGTCCTCGTCACAAACAAGGGTGCCAGAGTGTTCTTCATCTTTTTCCATATTCTCATGGTGGTCATCGTTGTCAAGTATGTTTGCCTTGTCCTTTATAAACCAATACATGGAGTGTGGTCCTTTGATCAAAATTTTGCAAACATTTATAAATGATTTCCCTTTGATATTTATGAAAAGATTTCCAGTGTTAGCAACATTTGCAAATGCATAATGCAGTCCTTGTTCAGGCTTAATTACACGGACCTGCTCAGCATGCAATACTTTTGCCAGCTTACCTTTACAAGGAGACTGAAGGCAACACACCATTCTAAATGCTGTGTCCATTCTACTTTGATCCAAGGAGATGCCATTATTACAATGGCTTCATCATGCCCACAGCTCACACCTTCAGCAATGAGGGGCATGTGCACTTTGACTCGTCAGAATACCATGTTGGTTGAGGGAAATTTAATGTGTGGAACCAACAAATGTGGTATTACCACATAATGGCTTCCAATCCTGGTCGGAGGATTGATAAATGGGTGTTTCGAGTTTAAGAATGCTCACATTATATGGTGGTATCACCACCGCGGTGGTTTCTAATGAGTCAATTCGGTGGTCCAACAGGGAATGCCCTAAATGAAGCGCACCTGAGGTCCTTCCGACGCGCATATGACATTTACCTCATCAATGTGACCCTATGCAGACTTGCAGACATGCTTTCTTCCCGAATGGACCTTGCTTTCTGAAATACCACGTTAGCTCATTCTGGTTGCTTTGTGAGTCTGTAGGTGCCGTGCTGCTGTGGCATCCCCCAGGCCAGTTAACAAAGAGAGACTTGGCTGTTTTGAGTTTGCTTTTTTTCACTCTGACTTTTTGTTTTATTCCATCAGCATCTTCATAGCTTTCATTTTGGAAGTCTTCATGGTAGAGTACTCCCTGTCCAAGAATAAAACTGAGGGCGCCATTGAAAAGAAGATCGATGAGTTGGGACTTGGAGTTGACCTGTGAGTAGACCATAGTCATATTCTGACCTCAAGCTAGGTTGCACTCCACATTAAATGAGGGAAGCTTTGTTCATTTGCAGGGATTCACAGATATGACAATGAAGCAGGTATTGACCTGACACAGTTTGCTTTTGTTTTGCGTGAAAGATGAATGGACCCTGTAGACTCAATGCTGTAAAGTGTTGGCTTTGACCCAAAGCCACAAATGTGTGGGCAAATAGATGCAGCTGTAGCTTTGGAAGCCCATCATTGACACGGATGACGGTTTCTTCAGGATTTGTGTACACTTCATGGATTGCCTCCTTTCAGTTTTAGATCAACCCTAACCCCCAAGGGACCATTGAAATCATGCCTATGCTTGTTGGATTCAGAATGGTTTGGGTTAATGGGCCTACCAATTAAAACATGCTACTTTTGACACCAGAATGAGTAAAGCTTGGATTAAAGTGGTGTTCATACACCATGTAAAGAGACTTGATGTGAGGAATTATTTCTGAGGAAGAAGAGGATCATAACCTGATGTTTGGGTCACTGAGGCTTTACTGTCAGCAGGATTTATGACATGTTGACATAGGTTGACGGAAATAGTGCAAACAAATTCCTATGGTTGTTCACAAAGCAATGCCTTGAGATGAGTTAGTTGTTGGAGATCTACTCAGAATGTCAAAAGCTAATCTCCCCACATTTTTGGCCCAATAATCCACTTTTGGAGGAAAGAGTGAACACTTAAGCATCCCTTTTTCTTGTAAATAAAGAAATAAAGAAGAGATAGCAAAAACAGAAATTAAACAAATGAAATTTTTGAAAGCAAGCAGACTTTGCCATGGATTGGGCAGTGTGTACCGAAGCATTGATTCACATTACAATTTTATGGCTTAACGCCTACATGTAAAAGAGTGATGGTTTTGATGTCAGGTTGAGTATGTTTTTAAAAAAAGGTATGATGTAATTATCTGCATTGACCAATGTGGCATGAGTCCTGAGGGCATCGTGTCTTTATTTTCATGTAAGGTTTTCCTCATCAGTGAGGTCGAATCAGTAGGCAGTTTGCAGTAAATGCACATTATTCCCCGGGCAACTCTCGCAGTCATTATGGGAACTAGCCACTCAATCATGATTGTTAGTAATCATAGCTGGACCAATTATGCCCATCCACGCTTGGCATGGTTGTTTCGCTCGCTTGCTTTCTAGGTCAGTAATAATGGGTTGAAGACGGAAACCTAAATTTTCACTATCTCTCATTTTGGCGGAAATCAGCCTCTTTGCTTGGATTTCGCTAATCAGGAATCAGAAAGTTGACACCCAAAAAAGAAACAGCTTTAGGTAAATCAGCTAAAACAATTCAACCGAAATGTCGCTTGAAATTCTTGAAAGAAAAGTCCCAGGTTAGTATCTCGTCACACTCAAGAATGTATGTGTGACTTTTCTGGTGTATTAGGCCATGAGCAGTGTAATCTTCTTCTTGTTGGCGTATCTATTATTAGAGTGCATGTATTCATCTTAGGGATTGGGTGAAGTGGCTTTTGCAATTGCTTTCAAACGTAGAAAAATTGCACATTGCTTGTTTTGCTACCAGTGGTTCATATCATCCATGTTGCAAACTCCTCAGGAGCCATGCATAAAGTACATGTACAGTATGTTGGCACAATTACATTGCATGCCTTGCAAGGGGGGTTGGGGTTCCAGGGCAGTGTGGACATACTCAGGGCAGTAAAACTGCTCACAGTAAATTGGCATGAAATCGATTGCACATTCTCCTATTTGTACCTACCAGAGCAAGCTTTTATTCAATCAGAATTGGTACAGCACCTTCCACACCTTTCGTGTGGATCATACCACGACCAATGTCATTGGTCTGATAACTTAAAGGGCAATATGGAATGTGGGTAGGGGGCACTGTGTGTATGCCATGCCTAAGGGGTTGGAGGAGGTCTGATGCAATCATTTTATGCATGCATACGTGTGTACTTTGAAAACAACCCCTCACTTTGCATATCGTTGGGTTTGGATGAAATGTTATATGCTTACTGTGTGCATGAAGGACGGAGGAAAACCAAAATAGGGCAAGTAAGCCGGTCAAGATAGACAAGCTCAACCTCACAAGTGACATGGAAGGACAGAACTCCAACGCTGCTGATAAAAAGCCAACTGATCCTGGAATACGCTTCCGCATTGGGAAAAGTAAGCAGGAAAAGAGTTTGCTGTTGTACTTTCTTCTCAGTTCTTTATTTTTGAAATAATGGAGATAGTGTCTCTGACTTGGAATGTTGAAAAATGAGGTTATCAAGATTCAAATGTCACAAATGTCAAAAGGAAAATGCCTGTTGTTAATGTTATATCTTATATGCCTGTCTGATCACAAAAAAAAGCTCAAAGAATGTTTGGGAAAATTCCTGCGAGACCTAATATGCCCACCTAAAACGTTAGCAGGAATATATTCTCAATAAATGCCTCGGTTATCTCTTTTTCTCAGAATAGCACCACTGAATCCATGGTCCATCAACATTTTATCCCTTTCATGTGTTTTGGTACACCGCAGAGTCAAGAAATGTACAGGTGTCACTGCAGGCCATGTTTGAAGGGGAACTGGACGAGGAGAACATGGGGCCCGAGACACTGGACGACATGGACGAACTCGATCCCGACGAGAATGAGCCGGTAGCTTACACCCTCAACAATGCCGTCTAATAATAAGGGGGTATGTCTGACCTCTTTGAATGGTGGCAGTAGGGAATGGTGAGACCTGCCAGAGGAATTGAGTTGTTGGGCAGCATGTCTTAAGAACTCACCAGGTGGGTAACAGACTGGTGCTGCTGCAGCTTCTGTTTTCGTGAAGCAGGTTCAATTCCACTCATTACCACTGTCGTCAGATTGTTTCATTAGAAGTCACTGAGAGGGCACTCTTGCTAGTAAGTGCTCTTAGAGGTAAGGAATTCTGTCTGTGCCTTGTATGTTGGAGATAAAGCGGGTTTCACTTTTACCGCTGCTGCCAGGCTTTGATTGACCGTTTCGGAAAGGAGAAATGCCTCTTTTGTAACACCTTGGTGTTTGTACCAGAAAATCTTTCCGTCATTTCAACAAGAGTTACATTGCGTATAATCTTACTTGTAATTAATCGTGTGTCATGATGGTACTCGTCTTTTAAACATATTAACTTTGAACTACTGTTCAAAATGTACAGGAATGATGCATGGAAAGAGGAGAGGAGGTGGGGAAAAAGTCTTCAAAAAGAGTCTTTTCAGTGCAGATTCTACTGTTCCATGTGCACTCAATTTACATGTGGATTGCTATTTTAAACTAACAGGTGTTTCATTTGCCTTGCAGATTAGTTATGGTTAATAAATTACTTAAGTTTCATTTTCACTTTGTTTCATGAAATCGGTTGCAATGAATGATCAATTCAGTATTCAGTACACTCTAAAGTAAATAATAGATATTATTATTAGACAAGAGGCTTTGTCCTATATATTGCATCTGTGTAAATATGCATTGTTTATTCTTGTTTTTCCAATAGTGTAATGAAAGCAATATTTTTTCAAATCACAGCTGTATTGGTTTGAATTTGAGCACTTAGTATTCAGTGGCATAATGGATCATTCTATAAATTGGGGGTCCAATTGTTTCCGTGACCCTGTCACATCTGACATGATTTTGTGTGTTCAGAACACATTCCGCAATTTCCAAGTATAATGAATTAATGCACATTACCTGCCAGACAAATAGAAACATTTTTGAATTAATTTCAGTTACATTTCCATTTCAAATTACACTGGTCCAATGTATTTGGGGGACAAAAAATGTCACGCTTTGGGACCCTGACTTTATAGCACTCATATCCATAACAACCAGTATTCCCTTATATATTACATGGCCAGCGCCTTAAACGTATAGTTTTTGTCTGCAATTTATTTATATGGGTGATACTTACGTGCAGTACGCGTGGTTGCGGCTCTTCACAGAGAGAGCATTGCATACAGTGCATAGTGTATACATGAATGTGCACTTGGTAGGTGCATTGATGGCTTTTCACACAAACACACAAAGTTTAGGGCCACACCGATAAATGCAAAACACTGGTCACATTGTGTCTTCAGTCAGATGAGGACATTTCTGAACTCATAAGTAACAGTTTTGCTTCTATAATAGAAAGAAACTGAATAGGTTCTCAAATGGTTAGATCAAAGTGTAAGACACCCTGAACAGACTTTTTAAGTATGAACTGAGGCAGAACATGAATAATTCATCTGTGCATTTTTACTTTGGACTGACAAGGTACAAGGGCGACTTGTACACAAAGTTTACAAAACGATTTATTCAGGAACTGCACAAAATAAATAACGAATGTTTCACATTCATGCATTGGAAATAATCATTTCATTTGGTAGCAGATTGAATTTTATTCTCCAATTGGCTTTGCCTCATGAAAGAGAACATTCAGTATGTCACCTTGTGAAATTATTCTGACCACTGCACTCAAAATATTCATTATTTGTGCCATAATTCACCTGTTGTAGTAAAGATTTTCCTTACCGTACAGTTAACAATTTTGATGTATTTTTCCCGCCATACATTAACCATTTTCATCTGCCCTGTTCTTAAATGAGCATTAATTCTGTTCTGCATTTATATTCTACTTAAAAAAAAAACCAGTTCCTATATAGCATTTCCATCAGTGTGCACGATGAATAAGATTATACATATATTGTTTGAATTACTCGCTTGGAAACCTGTTACAATTCATACCTCCATTGTTGCCAGCAGATCTATCTGTACACAAAGATACATAAATACATGGCCCTTTGCAACTGCGTGGAAGGTATTGCCTCTGACACAATAAATAATACAGAATGCAAATATAATTATGCAAACATATGTTGAGTTTACGAACATTTACACAGTGTGATTGGCTGTTCTTTGTTTTCCTGCGAGATGTAAATTCATCAGATGGGGAAGAACCAGTGGCACGGTAAGTTGCCGTTCATTGCTCTAAAGTCGTATTGCAATTATAAGCCATCAATGTGATCAATTTTGTGGTTACATCTGTTGGTACCACCAGCACCAGGAACACTGATGATAATTTTAAAGCAAAAAGTCCTTGATTGCAGAAAATATTGAACCGATTTGATGCATTACATATATAAAATTTCAAACTTTAATTTCCGCTTCTATGTGAAAATTGGTCTCGTATTAGAAATGAAAGTTGATGTAGTTAGACGTATAAAGGGTGTTAGAGGAACATTCTTCAGGGCTCATACAGAATTAGTAATGTGCAGTCATGAGGTTAGATCAAGGTGGATTTTTTTGTTCATCTCGTGGTTGGCCACACCCTTGCAGGACTTCATTACATTCGAAGAATCCACCAAATTTGTGGTCTTTTTCACTATTAAAGTATTTATTATACAATGTAAAGGAGAAATGGCTAATTTTGATACATTATTATAAATGTAAGAAAAGTGCTGTTTATTTTTTCCTGTGTAAGAAAGAAATTATTGAATCTTTAACCCTAACACTCCTCAGTCCTCCAACAGGTGAAGGATTGAGGAGGGTTAGGGTTAAAGCAGACAGGGAGTATGTTTCCAAATTGTCAAGTAGAACTGGTCAGTACGTACTGTCTTATCGATGAAGAGATGTGTATTCAGTGCGAGTTTCGAAGCACAACTGGCCTGAGCCTGCATGAGAATGAATAAATGAAATATGAAAAACCTGTAATACTTTTGGTGCAAGAGATGAATAGATAGAACCGCTATCCGCTCAGTTGGAATGACCCTGGGTACATTTCGAATATATATTTGATATTGCTTTGAGTTAGTGGCATTTGCAATGTTTTGTACCTGTGCTTTTGATTCCTCATGTAAGTTTATCCATTTGAAGAATATCAATGTTCATCGTGTGTTTTATGCTAGGCGTGAACAAAGTTTTTGAACGTTCAGTGATTATACTCATGTCATAGTAAAATAGGCTTTTGTCTGAGCCTATATAATTGGCAAAATACTGTGAGAGGCAAGTGGGGATTGTGGAGGTTTAAACGTGCAAGGAGTAATACGTTGGACGTTTTGCCAAAACTTTGGAGGGTGTGCATTTAAAGAAAAAAGCAGGGGAGATTGACTTTTGTCTGGTGGTCAGATTGTAACAACTTCATAATTTAGACTGAAAAAATGTTCTCTCCTAATTCAAAGAGCTGAGGGCCAGGGGGTTCTTCAGAATTTTTTTTGTTCAAAAAAAAAGTTGCTATTAGGAAAGCAATACAGTCGTTGTTGTGAAAGCTTACATTCTTACTGATTCAGACATTTGTAAAGAAAAAAACAGGTTTTGCATGGTACTATAGTTACTCAGTATGTATGCATAAGGTGGCAATTCCTAATATAGATCTACACCTTGTTATCATATTAAAATGTACAATGAAGACGAGTAAACTGAATGATTTATCTTGACAAGATTTACGTGAAGCAGCATCACTTGGAAAGTTCTGTTGTGTGAGATGTGTGTTTTTAACAGTTGGAAACGTTTAAGGTGGGAAAATGCCAGTCGCGTAAATCTGTGCTAGTGGATAGGGGGGGGTGACTGATAAAAATTGCCCAGTCGTGAAACGCGATATTTTGGGGTTCGAAATTTGGCCTTAGGCTGCCGGAGTATTAGCTACGCCACTGCTTTTGAACGGTTGGACGCACTGCGTCACAACAGTTGCGCACCCAGGATTCGTCCCTAGGAGAGGGGCTCAGACCGACATTTGCGCCCCCGGAGCTCATCGGATTCTCAAGCCCCTCCCCCGCAGCTAGCTGGGAGGTGTGATACGGTATCTTCGTTTTTCAGAAAGTGAAGAAAAAAGACAACCCCCTAAAATAGAGTGTCAGTGTCCTAGCTCTATGCTCCAACCCCATAAGGTGCACCACTGCATCAGAAACAGGAGTCTCCATGAGCAATAGAGGGATCCCAATACGACGCTTTTAGCGTCGATCTGCGCACTTCCACGTTTGAAAACGAGGCTGTATGTGTCAGCTTCAATTCTCAATAAGATCAGACGATTGAAAGTAAGGAGTCAAGACACAAAATACATAAAGGTA